ACCAAGCCGAGGAACAGCTCAGTTCAGAGGAAAGCTGAATTCAAACACACCCTCATAATCCGGCTGGGTAGGTATTAACCAAGCAATCTTTTACACTCAAGGATAAGTTTACACAACATAGCCCTGCAGTTATCAGTAACATAGCTCCAGGGAGTTACCTGCTCACTGTTGCTTTTAGAACTCTCTTTGCACATTCAAATCACTCTCTCCTCAGAAGCACATCCCCTGCTTTGAGATTTTCTTCACATTCCCTCTAGTTTGTTCCCATTCTGTTATATACTCACTACCCTAGAGGGAGAGATGTCAGCCACATGATTGTTAGTTTTTCTCTCAACAGTCAGGAGGTGAAAGGGATGAAAAGTGGAGAACTGATGGGCAGTACAAACTACTGCTTTGAAACTCAAGGTGGGCATGGAAAAAAAAAGACTTTTGCACCAAGTACAGTAAGTCTGCATTTGCTGCCTTCTCTCTCATACTGCATGGAGCTTGGACCATCAGTATGGCTTGTTAAAGTGCTGGTGCTCTCTGTGCCTATGCATCTCCTGTCTCTCTACACAGCTGAATTGCAAATAGGATGTGCTAGAGTATTTCCAGCACATCTATTTTCAGAAAATCAGCTGTCTTGTTTAGCTTGCCTGCAGTCTTGATAACATTGAGGGACGTGTTTTTTACTTTTAGAATTTTACAACTGTAATAATATTTACAGGATCTCTCCACCTCACACACAGGAATAACTCATGCAAGGGTATTTTCTACTTCAGTTCTATTTATGCCTGGAGTATAAAGATGCATGTGAATAAAGAATTTGCTAGCACTCACTGTGTTACAGATGTACTTAGGCATAGACTTGGCTTCAGATGGAGAAGTACTGCAAAAAGACGAGTTTCAGTGTTTGCAGTTCATAACCAAAAAAATACACGATGGTATCAAAAGTAGCAGTAAAAATAACTTGTTTTTGACAACATGCAGAGCATATTTGATCTATATAGGCTGGATTGCTGGGCTGAGGCCAGTGGGATGAAGTTCAACAATACCATGTGCCATGTCCTGCACTTTGGCCACAGCAACCCCAGCATGCTACAGGCTGGAAGGCCGCAAGGAGGAGAAGGATCTAGGGGTATTAGTCAACAGCCATCTGAACATGAGCCAGCAGTGTGCCCAGGTGGCCACAAAGGCCAATGGCATCCTGGCTTGTATCAGAAATAATTCTGCCAGCAGGTGCAGAGAGGTGATCATCTGTCTGTACTCAACACTGTTAAGGCTGCAGCTTGAGTGCTGTGTTTGGTTTTGAGCCCCTCACCACAAGAAGAGCATTGATGCTCTGGAGCGTGTCCAGAGAAGGACAGAGATGTTGTGAGGGCTCTGGAGCACAAATGTTACGAGAAGTGGCTGAGGGAACCAGGATTATTCAGCCTGGAGAAGAGGAAGCTCAGGGGAGACCTTATAGACCTCTACAACTACCCAAAGCGAGGTTGTGGCAAGGTGGGGATCAGCCTCTTCTGCATAATTAGTGATAGGACTAGAGGGAATGGCCTCTAGTTGCACAAGGAGAAACTCAAGTTGGGCACTAGGAAAGATTTCTTCTCTGAAAAAGTAGTCAGGCACTGGATCAGGCTGCTCAGGGAGGTGATAGAGTCACCATCCCTGGAGGTGTTCAAGAAACATTTAGATGTTGTAGTAAGGGACATGGTATAGTGGGAAAATATTGGTGATAGGTGCACAGCTGGACTTTTTGGAAGTCTTTTCAAACCTTGGTGATTCTGTGATTCTACATTCAGTTAAAGACCCCATTTCATCTTACTGCACCCTAACAGAAGTAATTTTTTGTCCTTTCGTTTTACAGCTAATGCAAAGATATAGGGAAAATGTTAGTAAAAACAGACATTTTTGTATTACTCCAGAAGCAGAGAAATGGATATGCTTAATTAAACAATGTCTTCTAACTGTAACTCTGTTACAGTTTCTTCTCACTGTGTTTGCAGGAGACCAAAATGTTGGCTTGCCCATCTCTGTTGAAGGAGCAGTGATCTCAGCTGTCTACAGTGGTGCAGCTCTGAAGGGAGCATGCATATTCTGCTGCCTGGGAGACCATGGTGAGTATGCTGTAGAACAAGCAATCTGCAAAGGAGGTTCATTATTCTCTTTTCTCTTTACCAGATGCACCTTTCAAATTTTTTTCCAATTTCTTTTTTTTTCTCTTTGTTCTCTTCTGTAGTCATTATTTTGAAACCTATTTTCACAGAGTCATAGAGACAGAATATTTTGGGTTGGGAGGGACCTTTAAAGATCGTTTGGTCCAACTCTCCTGCAGTGAAGAGGGACATCTACAGCTAGATCAGATTGTTCAGAGCCACATCCAGACCCACCTTGAACGTTTCCAAGGACAGGATGTCCACCACCTCTCTGGGCAACCTGTTCCAGTGCTCTCAGCTCTCCCTGGAGCCTTCCTTCCTCCAGGATGAACAGCTCCAGCTCTCCCAGCCTGTCCTCACAGCGTAGGGGTTCCACCCCTTGGATTATACTTCCATACTAGCACTTCATCACTCTCCTTACAAAGGAGTAAGTTCCCTATTCTGGCAGAGTTCTTTGCTTCCATTCTGCTTTGTTTGCATGTGCTGCAAAGCATTAGACACCTAAAAAGGCAAATTTGCTGTCACATTGCCAGAGTAAACAGAATGCTTTATTTCACTCTTCTATTTATTTCTACCATTGCTTTTAAGTACCAAAAAAAACTTTACTGAGTTTCCTACTTCCTTCAAGGGTTTGGGTTTTGATGTCTTTCTTCCCAGCACTTTGGGACTTAGTGAAGTTAACATTGCTCTCAATCTAGCTTAAAAATTTTCATCACAGTTGCTACATAATTTTCATCTGATGGGGGCTTCCTTGGGCTGCCAGGCTGCAGGAACTTCTTAATTGTAGGCATGTTGCTCATTCTGGTTTTAAAAGCCTGAAAAATAAAAGCAAGAGGGATAAGTCCCGACGATGCGAGCAGCAACTTTCCATACGATCCATCCATAGGATACTGGACAGCTTCTTCCCCCTGCTGGTAGAATAGATTCACGCGCTGAGGAGATCTACACAGGCTCCTCCTGCCTAACACGAGAAGGACCCAGCTGCTGCCAAATGCTTATTCTTATCAGCAAAAGCAGTGTTGGAGCAAGCAACACCTAGATGTCCACTGCCTGCAAGAAACTGGAGGCAAAACTGCAGTATCTAGAAGCATCAGGGATTAGTTTGGAAGGTCCATGCGAACTAACCAAGCTTTTTTTCCCCATTGCTTCTTACGATGGTGCAAACTTACCACCTAGGAAAACCAAATTAGCAATATGATTTCTATTTTTACCACAAAGAACTTCTAAGATTGTATGGGTGAAAGTGAAATGGCTGGAAGCCATTTCTTTGCTCAACTCAGTTGTCCTGCTCAGGCTTCTTGTGCTATGTGTCTCACCCAACACAGCCAAATTATTTACATGGAGCTGGCAAATATAGCATGGGCCTCAGGCTAGTTCCCTTCTACAGTTTTGTCTGGAGGCCAAGATGAGGATGACTTGGGCATCTCAGATGACAAGAGATGCCTTCTCTCACTGTACAGTCTGAGAAGACCCACTGGAGCAGGTTTTGAGCATCTGGATATCCCACAGTTAGCTCAGCAATATTATGTATATGAGAACCTCTTCTGACAATGGGACTAAGGGAGAGGAGCTTCACAGAACAACAGCCATTTCTTGCTGGCACATGTATGAACATTTCTTCTTCCTTACAAGCACTGGAAGGATAAGGGGGAATACAGGAAGGAGCGAGAAAAGTAAAAACTGTATAGTAAAAAACCACCAATATTAGAAGTATTTTCTCTTCTGGCAATGAAAGCATCCTTATGATTCAAGTCATGTCAGACGAACAGTGCCCATACCTGGTGGACAAGATATTTTCCCAAAAGATGGGAGCTAGAGGCCAGAATTTCCTGAAGCTGAAAAATGGTGCACAGGTTGCAGTCTGTCACAAAACACTGCCAACCCTGTTGCTAAAGCAGCTCATTCTGTCATTCAAAATTCCAACTGCTGGGGTTGCGATTTAGGGGGAAGGGGAGAATATCACATCTCCTCCCCACCCCTTTTCCTCAAGGACCAAGCAGAAATTCCAGTTAGGATAGTCTGATGCTGGACTGTTTATTTTGTTCATGGGATCAAAGCCCAAGGCTTTGAGTGCATGCTTTAGGTTAACTGTTTTTAAGAACAAAGCAATGATATCAAGCATGGCATTATCAGTCTAAATTTGCATTGCTTGCACTGCTCTGTTTACCAAGATTACAGGCACAAGGTTGAATTACTGAACAATATTTGGTTTTTTTAGTCTCAGACTATTTGGATCCACTGTATCAAAACTCTGACTCCTGCAGGTTTGCTCGAGCACTGGGCTCTTACAGCATGCTGCAGATCTGGAATTTTCTGATTTCTGATTGCCTTACTTCTGCTTGGTTACAGATTTTGCACATGGTACAAAAATTTCATCCTTAATGATATCAAGTTGATTACTGAAAGCAAACTGTGGTTGTTTGTTTGTTTGTTTTGGTCAGGGCTTCAATTTCTAGCCATGCTAGAAAGTAAAGTAGTAAAGTTAATAGAATCCCAAACTTACAATACTAGACAGTAAAGAAAATGGCACGCTGTATCATATTCTAACACGTCAGTCTATGTCACAGACGTAGTTTGTTATTACTATTAGATAGTATTCACAAGCAGGAGACAGGAAAATGAAAACAGGGCAGCTTAGATCAGTGGTTTCCTTAGAATGACATTGATTTCTACTGAGATGGCATAAGCCACTTGAAGAGGGAGAGATATGCCTTAATGGGGTTAAACAGGGGCATGGTGCCTTACAACAAATCAACAAAATCTATTCGCTGCTGTGCTTTATGTTACACAAACACGGGTAGTTTACACAGAACAGATTTACACAGAGTGGAGAGACAATCACTGCAGGACTGTCCCTTCATGAAATCTTTGAGATCTTTGTACCGTGTGGTTCCTGAACACAAACATGTTCAATAACATCATTACCTGCAGCTGAGGAAACCCAGAAAGCACAGAAGGTACTTTCTCCTCCACTGCTAAAATGGCTTCCATGAGCTGAACATCTGCCCAGCTGAATTTGTTTCCCACCAGAAAGTCTTGGCCATGCTGTTTCAAAACCTGTGGAGTACAAGAGAGCACGGATTACAGATGATACCTGGCAGCTAAGCCTTATGGCACAGCTGTAGAGCTAATCAGTGACCATAAGTGATTATAAGCAAAGCTTCACTTTTTAGCTGGAGATCTGTGAGCCCAAATCACTTCACTGCTGTTGGAATGTTGTATGGAACCCATATTACAAACTCTGGTCATTTGGTAATGATGGGTGACGATCGGTACTGGGAAAACAGACAAAGCCACATGCTTAAATAAGCTATTAGCAGTCATAAGGTTATAAATAGAGATAAGAAGGAATTGGAGAGAATTCATAAAATTGCCATTTAGATATTTAATTTATGGTTCTGTTCAACATACAGGAAGCAATCTTAGTATGCAAAATTACAATAGGTAACCAAAGAAAATCCCTGCCTCTGGGAGTAAGTTGTTATAGTAATAGGAACTTCTAGGATGTTCAGCCTTTATTATTGTTTTCCATCAAAACTAAATGAATGTTACAAAAGTGAACAGTGTTGCCAGGACTCGTGGGTTTGGTTTGTTGTTTTGCAAGTGAGACATGCAGAAATCTGAGGCTGTTTTACTAAAGCAGTCCTAATACCTCAGTGTTTTTGTCTCTATCTGATTTATTTGCAAGGGATTTTTTGCATTCTTCAACTGAAGGATAGCAGAGAGATGTGCTCTGAACAAATACAAGAGTGGAATTTTCTCTCACGGAAAAAAAAAACCCAAAAGCAACAACATATGTGCTTGTTTTTACATCTGCAAAAAGATATGCTGTATGAACTGAAAACATTTCACTTTGTTTGCTTGGTGGCTGTAACAGTATTACAACCCCAACAACATAAGCTAACAAACAGAAGATGTGCTGTATCATTTTCCCTTCTTTGTGAGAGCCAAGAAAACTGAGGATCTGGATCTAACTGTACCACAAGTATGTTACAAGTATGTTACTTTTGGGAAAGTTTCTGATAACTGTAAATGCAAGTTTTCTAGGCATCCTCTCCGTCACATACCTTTTCAAAGACAGGGAAGTACCTCTCTGTTGCCTTCTCTGCAATTGTAGCAATATTTTTCTCCTTTGCCTCAGGTGGAGAGAAAGGAAACATCAGAATCAAGTGCATCAGATCTGATATTCCTTCCACATACATGTCAATCCTGTTTGAGGGGAGACAATAGACAACAGCATGGGAGTTATTTCATCTGTATTACAATTAACTAAGGCAACTTATAGGACTTATATATCACGATCACAGTGCCAAATTTCATAGTCAAAACTAAATACAAAATAAAGCTAGGTAAGTTTTAAAAGGACTAAAAGCCTGTTTCTATTCAACAGCATTTCATAAGCAGTGATTAAACCCTGAACAAAGGCTGCAGTCTGCTTTGTTGCTTAGCCTTTCTTACACCTTTTTATTGGATTTACAGGGTTGCATTTGTTCAATGTAATGCAGCTATCAAATAACAGATTGCTCATTAAGCAAGAGGAAGTGCTACCATACAAGGCTCTCTCCTTCAAGTCCTTCCCATAGAGATTGTATTTCCCTGCTATGTAGCTGAGGATGGCTCTGCACTGCACCAACTTCATCCCATCGATCTCAACCAGTGGCAATTGATAGAACATCAGGGATCCATCTAGAACACAAAGTCAAATGAGAGCTTGTTAGTTCCTTCTGGAATTCTAGCTTTACAGGAGAGTGCATTACTTTTGCAGTGTAATCATGGACGCCTTGCCCTAACTCAAACTCCATGTGGTTAATTAACATTGTGGGAAAGATTAAATGTTGTCTGGTAGGCATCAGGTTTGCAGCTTTGTCAGAGAGGTGCAGCTGGGCCCCATGCTTTGCAGCTTTGCCAGGGCTGCACTGCCTGACGGGAACTGGCACTGTTCCCTTGCACTCCTGGCCCCTGGCCCTGCTGGCAGGAGAAGGCTGACCCAGCAGTTCCAGCCCCAGAGACCTGAGGAGAATGAAGAGCTGTGTTAAATCAGAACAAAAAGCCCAATTATTTTGAATGCAGATCAGTTCCCTGGCAGGCACATAGACAAGGATGGAAATAAAAAAAAGAGGTAGTACCACAGTAAGACTGAGCTACTGGGACAAAGGGAAAGGTCAGGGCACTGGGAGCAGCAGTGCCAGATTCATTGTGAGGCAGTGAAGCCAGGGACGGGGAGTGTGACAGCAGCTTGCTGCTTCACTAAGTTTTGCATAGTTGCTCCAGAAACAGGATTTTGAGCATCCCTGTAGATTTCCATTACAGGCCTGTCTGTCCCCAGTGTCATTTCACAACTCAAACCCATCCAGCCATGCTACTACTATCCCCTCTTGCCCCTGTGCTGACAAGCCCTGTTTTCTCCCAGTGCTGGAAGCAGTGTGGCTGATCCTTTAACAAGGTTGTGCTGAGACTTTGTGTTAGGCACAGCAAAGCCATTTCTTTCTAGTGTAGTTTTCTGCTGAACTCATTTGCCAGCTTTGGAGATACTCCCTGCTCCATTTAAATGTTTATGGGCATCCAAAAAACAATCCTGACCTGTTAAAATTACACTGAAGCTCTAAATCCAAGTAGGCAGCTGCCGCTTTGCATTGCTCGAAGTTAAGCGTTTATTTTAATTGCTTGGTCATTATTAATAGTGCATTTCTTCCAAGTACAAGAATTCACAGCACCTTTACCTACTCTCTTCTTTACAGAGCTACTAAAATACTCTGCTAACCAAGAACTAATAAAAAATCTTCACTACATCACTAATTTACAGCTTAAATTCAAAAAGCAACTCTCTTTGTGGCAAGGAATAGTCCATTTATTTCTCATAGACAGTAACAGAATGATCCTGTGTCATCATGTCTTACCAGAACACACCTCTGCAGACTGGGAAAGAACATCACCTATAAGAAGACCCCTATCTAGCAGAAAAAACACAGGATGGAAAAAATAGCAGCCATACAAGCATATGTCTCAGCAAGGAGTTGCACTAAGTGGAGAATAAAGAATAAATCTGACTTTCTGCCCCTTGACAAGAAATAAAGTGTAGGAAATGTGAGAACACTAAATGCCTGGTTTGTTTCTTCTCTACACAGAAGAATTTTTATCTTATGACCATTAGTAGGCTGCTTCTCCTGGTTTTGCAATGGGACCACTTCACATAACCACTGCACATAACATACATGCAGGATTTAAAGCGGTTTGCCACTCATTTTGCTGACTGTATTGTGTGTCTGATGATCGTCTCTGGGCATACATTAAAGAGCTATAGCCTGGGCCTGTTTGCCACAGAACAGCAATGCTTCTCAACATCAATCTGTGGCTACGTAGATCGAACCAAGCCAACAGGTCTCAGGCCAGTAGGTACAGGCCTGGCCAGGTGATGTACTGGAGTCTCTCCAAAGCAGCTGTCTGCTGCAAGGTACAGCTGGAACTGAAGAACTGGGAACAGTTCCTGGCCTGGGCTGAATCTCAGAAAGTGCTGGAGGATTGCTAGAAGACCTTCATTTGGCACAGGCCAGAGCCACACCTGGCCGTGATAACAGTGCTCTGAAGTCTGAACTCAGGGCTTCCTGGAACGAGGCACATTGGCAAGGAGAGAGAAAAAAAACTGGAGGTAGAGGGAGTGGTGGTTACTCATGTTCAGTCCTGCTCTGAGCATCTGGCGTCACTCCACCAAATGACTAATATTCGTCTTTCTTCAATTCATCGTGTCAAAGCCAGCCTTTTTCTTTGTGCTCTGAGCCTCTTAAGCTCAGTATACGTATATACTTGAAGAGCCTTCATTTTCTTTAGAAGACTTCCCTATCCTTTTTCTTGCCACTTAATTCTCTTCTCTGGTTATGGATAGGCCTCATTATGAAATGCAGAATCATGCCATTCTGTTTGGGTTAAATATCTTCAAGAAGGAAATTCAGATTTGGATACCTAACTATATACTACCTAAACTATTGTATTTAGGGCTATATTTATTGTCTCAACAGCACACAACCCTCCCATGTCATCAGATTACCAGCCAGCTAGACCTACAACTGATCTCACTGATGCCACTTTTTTATTGCTGGTGTTTTGTGCATTTTAGTTTTGTTTTCATCTTTTCTTTAAACGCAGCTTTCCCTATCTGAGTGGGCAGCCTGAACACAGCCAAGTCCTTTTCAGGGTGTCTCTTTGCTGTGCTGGGGTGTTCCTGTCTTGGGCAGCAGAAAAAGTTCAGGACAGGCAAACCTAGCAGTGCTCCTCACAGGCCCAGCTCCTTCCCCACCTGGGCAGCGAGGCTTTTTCCCTCCAGGGTGGTGCAGAGGACTTCAAACCGGGCTTCAGCTGAGCAAGTATGAAGGCCAATGGCTGGGGGTTTGCATTGCTATTGGGATCTGGTCTCACTCCCACAGTTTACATAAAGGCTTTCTGGCTGCTTGGACCATGTCAGACTTATCTGAGGGAAGATTCATTGCTCTGGCTCATCCTGCACAGCTGCTTTACATGGCCTTACTGCCATGTCAAATCCTACCTTAAACTTCCCAGTGCTAGCCATATTTAATGTGTTACTGTGACCACAGTCACAGAAGCTATGATTTCAATCTTATAGGAGTTATTTGGTACTGCAAAGAACAGGTTACACAAAACCGGCATTTCAGCATTCAAGATGTATACCCAGAATTTTGCTTTGGTTTAAATAAATTTTAATGTAGCTAAATACGAGCAACTTTCTGCTTGCCAAAGCCTCAAGCATCACAGTCTTACCTTCGCCTAACTTCAGTAACTGCTCTCTTGTTTGCAGAAAAATTTCTTCAAACTGGAAAAGAAGAGAGAAGAGCTCTTTATGTTTCTGGCATTTTTCTCCAATTGACTGCACATGACCTCGAGCAGAACAATCCAGCCAAGCAAAATACGATGAGTCGAGGCTTCAGATGTGCTGTTTGACTGAATCCTCTGAGGACTCTCCACCCATCCCCACGGCTGGATAGCAGCGGAAGGACCTGGCCATTTCTGCCTGGTTGCACTGATTCAGAAATTATTGGAGTGCAAGCAGAAGTGAGACACAGACATCTAGAGGGAAGAGCAGGCTGCAGCCAGTGCCAAGGGAAGCACAAGGTAAATCAGTTCTTTCTAACACTACCCCAAGAGTGGGCCAACAACATTCTTTTTTCTTATACACTTTGCAACCGCAATCTAAATGAGACTGAGCAAAGTGATTTTGCACAGCTGGAAAACTGAGATTCATTAAAGGCCTTTTAAAAAAAATCCCTGTTTAGACACACTAGAATTACTTCAGAAAACTGATGCTAGCTCTGTGAAATCCAAAGCTCCATTGAGTTTGTATGCCAAATATCAGCCACTGAACAGGGTAGGCACAAACCTAAATTAATTTGAAAACGAAGTTATTCACCCTTTTGCATCCTTATTCCCTGTGTGCATATTAAATTGTTTCACAGAGTGTCCATTTAAAGAGCTGAGTGTTAACCAACCTCCACTCCAGCTGCAGCTAGCAGCCATCGGATGGTCTCCATTCGCCCTCTTCCATTGATATAGGTGAGCCTGGGCTTCCCTGACATGCTTCTGAGCTCCCGATGCCTTGAGAATTTTTAAGCTGAAAACAAAGATCTCAAAAAGCAAGTGTAAGTACCATTATTTGGGGGGAAAAAAGAGAGAAGCCTTTTATTCTCACTACCTTTGCTGCAAGTGTACATTATTTGACTTTAAACAGACTATAGAATCATAGAATCATTAAGGTTGGAAAAGACCTCTGAGATCGTCTGTTCCACCTGTCAACCCATCCCCACCATGCTCACTAAACGTGTCCCTCAGTGGCACATCCACACAGTTCCTGAACACCTCTAGGGACTGTGACTCCACCACCTCCCCATGCAGATTGTGCCACTGCCTCACCACTCTTTCTGAGAAGAAATGTTTCCTAATTTCCAATCTGAAGCTCACCTGGCTCAGCTTGAGGCTACTACCTTGTCATATACTAGGAAAGGAAAGATGTGCTGAGTGGTAAAAGCTTTCCAGTGCTACTAGGAAGGGGTTTTCTTGGTCATCTGCAAAAACAGACATGTTTAAACAAGCAATCTGAATACTGAGCTGGAGGGGGAACCTCGTTGCATTACCAGACATTAATGTAAAGCCACTGGAAATCCACCATGCCTTCAGGGCAGTTACTCAGTGACAATCACTGCCATGATCACCACTGAAAGGAGGGAAAAGAAAAGGTGTTATACTGCTAGGCTGAAATGTTCCTAGCTTTTTTTCTTTTTTTTTTTTGCCAGATGTCACAGTGCATCACGCAGCTTTATCTGTCACCCACCTCTTTCCTAAATAAATGAATCATGGATCTTCCCTCTGTTCCAAGAGGCAGGTTGAGGTGCTTGGCACTCACAGAATCTTAGAACAGCTTGGGTTGGAAGAGACCTCAAAGATCATCTGGTTCCAAACTACTTGCCAGGGGCAGGGTTGCCAACAGCTAAATCAGTTGCTAGATCAGTTGTCTTGGATGCCCTCAGCCCGTCTCCTTGGTGCTTATGGTCTCCCCCAAAGCCATACCTGCAACCTGGCTGCAGGTGCCCCCAAAATGTATCCCAGGGCAAAGGGAGTAGGTGTGCCCAGGGCCTTGCACACCATGATCTCTGCAGCTCCCATCATAGCCCACACCTTTGCACAAAGAGGAGCTGTGGCACAGACAGAAAGTTGGTATAAACCTATTTCATGCAGTATGGGCTGTTTGTGTTGAAGCTGGAGCATATATTTGCCTTAATTTCTGTGTTCCGTTGCCCTAATTGCTAAAAAAGTGGGACTGGAATTCCCCCTTCACAAACATATTAGTTTCATACACTACAGAATGGGAGAAAAAAAAGCTTAAGGATGTCCTAAAAACAAAACAAGATAAAAACAAACAAGCAGAAATCCTACAGACGATTTCAATTTTCTCAGTGGTGAAAACAAAAGCTGCAATACTCACACTGTTGCCATCACATGACTGCACTCACACTTCATTTCCCATGTAAATAAGGTTCAGTGCGTTCTAGTGATATTTTCTTCAAGTCACACTGCTTTCTAAGTGTGTTTAACATGAGGTACATTCAGACAATTCTTTGCCAAAACTCCATTTTAAAGAGCAATCAGAACAATTCTGGTAAAAATTTAGTTGTGCTTTTACAATAAGAAAGTATGGTTTGTGTGATTTTGACAACATAATCTGAATACAAAAGAGAAAATATCACCCTCAGTTAGCAACAACTGTTGCTAATTATGGTCCTGCCTGTAAGTCAGTGGTTGCATTCATTTCTACAAATGCTGAGTGAATAGTTTTTATGACATGACTGTACAGTTTATCTGTCTATCCACAGCTAACTGGTGCCTCTTCATTACCTTGCTTATCAGAAACACTGTGTCATATCATTCCAACACACATTGACCCTGATTATAATGCACCAAAACGTACAGTAAATAGGATATTAATTACACAGCCAAGGGTTCTACAACTGCATAGGAAAACATAGAGAGTGAAAAGCATTAGGCAACATTTTACTGTTTTACATGAGTAAGAAATCCTGTATACCATTGAATCTGTGAAGAGCAATCACAAGTAGAAAATAAAAACTTGCCATCAGCTGCAGCTTTCTAAAATAAATAATAACTCCATCAGACATAAGTAGATTTTAATAATCTTAAACCTCTGACACAGAAAGAAGTACTTGGGTTTTTTATGTAGTCTTCTCAGTCTGAGATCCACCAAGCATCACCAGTGACTACACAGGGCCCCGCCACACACCTATCGACACCTGTGTTACAGGGCCTGCATCAGAAGCTGAGTCTTGGATACATTTGGATACGCACCCATGCGCCTGCTGCCACTGGAGATGGGCAGATACCATTCCAAACCTGCAGGATCTTTGTCCTGCTGAAAAGACAGCCTGGTGCTTGGCAGGAAACTCAGGTGCAGTCAAGGTCTCAGCATCACCACTTTGGTGGAAAAGCACAAATCACCACTGCTTCAAGCACAAAAGTGAGTGGATGTATCTACATACATACACATTTACCATTTTTGTCTAAACTCCATATTTCTGTCCTGTTCTCTCAGTGCTTAAGAATCTGCTTTACCCAGTGTGACTCACACTGCAGGATTAGTTTCCTGATTAAAAAGATCTTTCTTGCTCCACGTGGTAGCCCAAACACTAAAGAATAGAAGCCTGCACTTACCTTCTATGCTCAGTCTCCACTGCTTTCAGGTACAGTCCCACCTCTAGTTTAACTTGGCAGCTCCTCCTATGCCTGGGGAGTTCCCAGCCATACCCAATAAGAGAGAAATATTCCTACTGTCATTAATCTGACGTTAGGGAACTTAAAGGCATATGTATCTGAAGGTGCCACTCAAGGCAGGGGCTCTTTTGCTGCTTGCTGATTTGATCATACGATGGGGTAGTCACACAGTTTCTATCATAGCCATCTATTCAAGCTCCTCTTTTGGAGCTACTGGGGTATTTTATACACATATAAGAGAACACACTCTAAAACACTGAGAACATCGTAGGTTCTTCTGCATCTTATTTAAGATAACTGCAACTTTTTAAAAACTATCCAGTAAATATTCTAGGCCTATCTTAACAGTAACCAAGGTACTTATTTTCAGTGCTGTCTGGCATAAAAAGAATACCTAAAGTAGGGGATAACAATTCCCAACTACTTCTAAACACAGCTTGCTGATGACAATTTACTTAGTGGTAACTTGGTATGAAAAATAGATGTTTATGCGACAACTTAGCCCATGTCTAAGGAAACAGCACTGATTCTGCAATGGAGTGTACATGGAGATGTACACACAGCGTATGCAGAGATGAAGTAAAGTATGATTTTCCTACCCTGTTCCTGTGACATATACTTACCTCTGACCTCAGCTTTGCCATCTGCCTGTCAGATAGAATGATCAAAATGGAAGAGAGTGTGGACAGACACAAACGTAGGTTAACAGATGTGAAGTAGGATTTGGACAGCAATGATCATTTTCTCACCTCTAGTGTAGACTCACATATTATGATGTGGCATCATTTACTCTCTGCATTAAATCTGCTAATCTAAAGGTCTGTCCATAAAGCAAACACTGAGTAATGGTACAGTCATGGCTGTACCTACATAGCATCAAAAGTTGGGGAACTTCAGGACCAAAGTCTTTACCTGACTACTTTGAAGAAACTTCAAAATACTGCTACTTTCTTTTTTTCCTCACATTTCTGGTTCAGTTACTGTTTATCTGCCTGACAGTTTCTGTCAATCTTCTCTAGAGGATGCATTTTCACTTGAGTCCTCTTGGAAATCTGTAATTTCTGTTCTCCAAATGTTGATAGTGTCAGCAAAATACAATGATATGGTGCTTTTTCCTACTTTGCCTAATTCTAACCCTCTCAGATTCATCATCTGGAGAATAAAGTAGATCATTAAACGTACATTTCCGTATTGTTTCCATGTCAAATCCAATTAGTAACCTCCAGAAAATTCACATGTACAGGCTGGAAGTGTTTGCCTGTACCTGTCCATGATGGCAGCACTGAGTAAAGACTAAGCTGCTCCTGCTTTGAGATCTTTGATATCTGTGATTTGAGGCATGGTGATGAGCAGTCAAGCAAACTGTTCTGATGCTTTTTGGATTTACTAAACGATGTGACATCCAGATTCAGTAGTTGTTCCCCTTCTACACATCCCTGTTTGCCGGGAAGAGTTTATCCTTTGTTATGTTTAGATGATGTTTGAGGTCCCTTCCATCACAAGCCGTTTTATGATTTTGTGAAATTTTTGTTTTGCTTTCAGCTCAGCAATTGTGAAAACAATGTAACTTCTATAAGCTCCATTGAAATCCGTACCTACTGCCTACAGGATTTCTTTCATCTCTAACTTGACTTGTTGTATAATCCTCCGGAGTCGAACAGAAAGCAAATCTGTTTTATGAAAAATCTGGTCAGCCACACCTGTGAGCATCCAGGCAGTTGGCATAGATCCCAGGTACCACTTAAAGGATTTGGGTTGGGCACAAGCATGCCACACCCAGCATGCCAAGTTCCCGGTGCAGTCTGTGAACACGCTTTATGATGATGCACCTTAGAGAACTCAAAGACTTCTCTAAATGTGATGTTCACAAACCACAAAACTTCTTTCTTGGGGCACCATGCCTGATTGCAACTTCTGGCAGCACCTTTTCAGGGGTAAGTGCTGAGTATGCAGCTAAATGCTGCTGGAGAATGAAGCACGGAGTTAGGATTCTCCCTGTGCTTCCAATCAATCTCTTAAAATGAAGAACAAACACACGTTGATAAAACTAGAGTCCACAAAAATAGTTCAACAAAGTTGTTGTCACGCAACCCAAGACATGCCAACCTGTGACACTCCAGCAAAGACTCTAGTCTTGTCAAACCCTATTGTACACACATTCCCACTGCCCTGTGCAGCCTGTTCCATGCCCACCCCCTTCTGGAGCTGACCCTTTCCCTAACCCCCCCGCTGCCCTCCCCTGACACAGCTCCATGCCATTCCCTCAGGCCCTGTCTCTGTCACACAGAGCAGAGCTCAGCGCTGCCCCTCCTCTCCCTGAGATGGCACACTGTTGACTCATGTTCAACTTGCTGCAACCAAGATCACCGTAAATATGATGCCAGCCAAGTTGGCATTTTCTCCTGCACATTTCTGCAGGCCAGTTGGCACTTATCCGGACCACCAGCACAGAAAATTCTGAGAAAATCAATCCTAATCCTGATTTACACTCATGTGAGGAGTGTAAATGGCAAGGAAAGTTAGGGAGGGACAGAAACAAGATTTACACTAGCAAAAGGCCAGCACACAGACCCCAGCATCGGCATGTGCCTTCCCTTGTACCAAAAGTTTCCTAGCACAGCCATGACCTGGGCCAACCAGCTCTGTCCCACATGGTGCCCAGGCTCTGTGGGTGGGCAAGTGTGGGCCAAGGATCATTGCCAAGAACTGCCTCAGAGGCGGCCACCCTGTGTGCAAAGCGGGAGTGGCTGCACAAACACCAGCTTCACTGTGCCAGTAGCTGCAGGGCCAGAGCAGCATCACCAGCACAAGCAGTGCGGAATAATGCAGAACCCTTTGAGGGGCTTTAGACAGAGCCTGGAATGATGCTTAGCGATGTTCGTAACATTGAGAAGGACAGCGAGGACAAATGAAGGGTGGGCTAAAGCCAGCAGGCAGGCAGAGAAGGTGACTCATGCTGACTCAGGGCCATATCAGGGTCAAACATAAATACCAGTTACGCACATGCCAAAAAAGGAGCAGAGTCTACACAGCTGTCTAGCCCCAAATCTGTAAAACCCGGTCAAAGAGTGGGTTGATATCCCCCATCGTGTGAGGTGTGCCAGATCAAGGCTTCAAAGCCAACTGAAAAAGAACTTTAATCCATAATGTGAAATACTGAACTTAAATAAGTTTTGTATTACAATGACTTCTTATTTCAATAGTAACTTGCATATGTTTCCTTTGTAGGGCTTCTGGCATGTGCTGCAAAACTTTCTAGGACTTTCTAGGACTCTCAGTTTGTGCACATTGTTACATCTAAAGCTTATGTGCATTGTTGCACTAAAAATGTGCATTGTTGCACTAAAAGAAATAATTAGTTTATGTTTAAATAACATTTATATTTCCAAATGGAGGTGGAAGGAAGCAAAGACTTCTACATTTATCTGATGTTGATAAATTATAAAGCTGAACAAAAGCATTTATTCCATCTTTTTTTCTTTTTTTTCCTCAGTATAGGGAATTGTAGTTGAAATTGGTCACTGGAAAATATCTAAAACCAGCTTTTATCCTGTGAGACATTTTGTTTGTTTGTTCTGGTTATTGTCTTTATAAAATCAGATTTACTTACACTTCTTATATAAGGAGAAATAGATGTCAGGGCACACAAGTCCACTTCTATTCCTATAAAACAGCTTTGTTTTTACTGAAGTTTGTGTTTCCCCCGAGTTCATCATCATTCTCATAACATTCAGTATCCTTAGTATAGATTTCAGCCTTTATTTCCCTTTAAGAGGAAATATTCTCTCTTTCCCCTAGACTCCCTTACACAGATCTGTCAGCATGAAAAGATTCAGTGAGGTGAGATTAATGATGTGTTATTCATACAATATTGAATAATCTGACTTTTAAGATTCTCTTTATTAACTGTTTTGTACTATCTTCAAAATAATAACATGTATGTGTTTTAATGATATTTATGAGTAAACTTCTACCTGTACATTTACTTTTCTTACAGATACATCTAACAATTTATTGAATGCAACCTGCTTTGCTCTCTGCTGATGTGAAAATATGATTTATTGTTCTGGTTTGCATGTGAAGGATCATAAAAATCTAGAAAAACAAAAATCAGGGAAAGCTGAAATAGGAATGTCATGGAAAATAACGGCAGAAGTTGAAAATTCTCTGTATTAATGCTACAGCTTCTTCATCTGGAGGTAGTGTCCCTCTTCAGCTCTGCATTTTATAGTTTTGTACTTCACATTGTTGGCTGTATTTCCCCATCCCCTCTTGAGTATTTCTGCACTCTGAAAGACTGCAAGAACCTTCCAAGCATTTTAACTTCTCTTGCACAAGAAAAGATATACTGCACTTCCCAAAACAGGAACACTGAGAAAAGGCTTTGGTGTGCTTGAGAACCAGGCTGATACTTTATGCGCTCTTTATGTACAAGTAATGAACTTGCAGTAAATAAAACACTGGCAGTACATCCATGCTAGAAAAGTGATGGTGAAGCTATGTGTCACTGCTTCTCCCAAGGTTGGTACAAAGCAAACACAGAAATTTGTGTTGAAAAATTGTTTTATTACCTCCGGAGTTTGGTCATGAAAGCCAAGTAGATAGTCTGAAACAGTATAATTGTATAGCAGTAAAGAGGAAGATTTATGAATCCTCCTCAGGTTAAACCTTCACCATAGGTTTATATAAATGTCATCATAATTCCTTCCCCGACATTTCCATCCACAAGCCTCTGATATAAGGTGCTTCCCATGGACACCCTTGGCAATAAAATAAGCACTGTCTGTTCTTCTGCTGTAGCTGGAAGCACAGACTCCTAGGCTTCTCCATAGGAATGAGCAGAAAAAGACTTTGAGGCCTAAACCTATACATGGGTCTTCAGTAGTCTAATTGGGAAAGGTGTCTCTCCTGCTTCAGGAAGGACCAGGACAGGATGCAACGTGTGAGTGTGCCTCTTTTAGTGCAAAACCAACTCCTAGATCCTGGCGATGTATGTTGACCAGCCTGCCCTGCTTCTCACGAGCACCTGGATTAGCAAGGAACCGCAGCACCAGGAAAATAAAGAGTGTGCTTGTTTAATGAAGGTTAAGATCCACACACCTGTTACACTTCTTGTTGTTGCTATGAGGGTGTATTTCACAGGAGGACATCAACAATGAGATATTCTACAAAGCATGAGAGTTATGCCTGCCACCCAATGCTGTCTCCCTTCTTAGAGTAACATTTTCTGAAATGATTACCCAAAGCTGGCTTACAAGGAATTCAGAACACACAGCTCTTTCATCCCAAGGCTAAAGTTCCCCAAGTGCAAAACTGCAGAGCAATGGCAAGCCTTTGATAACATAATTAGTTCTTTGAAAAAGGGGGTGGCCTGTGCTTGAACTGTTGTTTATCTGAATGGGCTGGTTGGGAGATGAGCTGTGGAGTCTCAGGCTGAAGGGCAAGGGTGAGCTCCTTCTGTCTGTTGCCAAAAACAGGGCAGTGCTTCTTTTACATCCTTTTTCAAGTGTGTATGGGAGAAACTGTTCTGAAAGGAAAGTAGTAGGGCAAGCAACAGGAAAGAATTGGAAGCTGCAAGTTTGCTTATTTATTCTCAGTGTGCACACTGACTCGGATCACCAATCTCACCTTTCCCCCCTCCTTATTATCAACTTTATTTACTTTAATCTTCTGCAAACGTTGCTATTTTTTTCAGTCTCCTCATAAAACATTACATTGCAGAGTATCAAGGGTTTAATTGCTATCTTCAACTACCTAATGAGAGGACGGGAACAAACACTTCTCAGAAGAGGAGGAGAGGCACACAAGTTGCAGCAGCAGAAATCTTAAGCAAACACAACAAAAGGAAGTTTTACAATGACGTGGTCAGAATCTAGAAGGTGCTGCTGCACATGGGTTTGTACAAGACTGAATTCTGCTCTTAACTCCTGTGAGACATGCAGACATGCTTGCAGTCACACGATAAGAGGCTAACCCTTCCTTGCAGCTCAGATAAATTGCCACCTGGAGATACATACTTCTTTCCATGACTGCAGAAGTAGCCATAGCTCAAAACCAGGCATGTGGTGCTTAGAGTTAGTGTACCAGGCTTTGTCCTTCAGCTCCTTGCCACAGAGGCTGTACTCTTCCTGCTGTGTTACTGGGGATGGCTCGGGGCTGCACAATTTTCTCCCCATGTCTTCACAATTTTCATCTCATCAGTCTCCACATGAGCACTTGCTGAAGGAGCAGGGCTCCATCTAGGGCAGAAAAAGTGTAACACCCATTTAATTCAAGACCTACAGCTTTTATAGTGTTGAAATGGAATGCCTGTAAGTGCCTAAGGCTGAAATTATCTCCTGTAGCAACTAGGATATAGAATAAACTTCACTAGAAGCAGGATCTTATGTATGATGCCAACAATAAAACCTTGATCAGTATAGGATAGCTACTGTGGCTGAGCAGTATCCTGTGCTCTGTTTTCTTCCCTCTGCTGGGGAAAGCCACTCTCTAGAATCCCCATGTCACACTCAAGATGCATTTATGAACGTTTTGTAACAGCTAAGAGATTCTGTAAATCTGTTACAACAACTAATAACCACACAAAAGGGTTTTTATATAAATCTGCAGGCACTGTGGGCGTTGCAATTCTTGATTTACAACTTTAACAATAAACAAACAGGTGGTTGGACTCCTTATTTAGGAGATCCTGGTTTAGAAGCAGCTCCCTCCTGCACAGCCCTTGGCAGCTCCTATGGTAACTACTGAACACCACTCTGGCGTCCCACTTGGCAGCAACCATAGCCAGCCAGCTGTCCTCAGCCTTCTGCACAAAGACAGCTTTTGAGCTGCATTTCAGCAGGGGGGTTGGAATCAGCTGGGGGAGGGAAGGGGGGGAAGAAGAGTAGAAACAATAGATACATGGTCTAAAAGAGGGGAACTTGAACTCCAGCAAGGACAGAAGTAGAAACAATTGATCACAAATACGCGAGGAATGAATGAAAAAGAAACAACTGAGCAACAAGTGTACCAAACACCATAATGGGCTGGTGTCAACAAGAAAAAAAGGGAAATTGCTCTAAGTGACTTTCAGGCTCATAAATGGCTACTCACATATTAAAAAATATGTGAGAATGAGATTATAATGGAACAGCAGCTTACTCCTCCTAAATCTAGAACATTCTAGCCCCAAAATATGCATGATCAGAAAAGCCCTTCTTGAACCTCAGATCCGTGCCTGACTCAGTGGCATTAGTCCCAGGGCTACCTCCAGGTCCAGGAACCCACATGTCCCTTTTGGAAATCAGCCAAGGGACAAGCTCCTTCATTCCATGTCAAAGCATATGCTCATGTTCCAGGTGCTTGCAGCCCCTCGATCTTCCTGCCACAGCCTGAACTATTCACTACAAATAAGGTGCATGGTAAAGACATCAGAACCCTTGCAGGGGACACATTTTGCCTACATTTGGCATCTTTCTATTCTTCTGGCTTTCATAGTGCTGAGAACTTCAGTCGCTCTGAAGCTGTGAGACAGCTCCCTAGCGGGCAATTCATTCATCGAATTTACTCAAGTGTATTTGCTGCATTACAAGGTCAAGATGCATCCCATTTCTCAACATACAGCCAGCTCAGGAATTAAGCAGTGACACTGGAGATTGAGCAGAAATCTTTTCAACTATATAATTAATACAGAACTATAAAAGCTATGAAAGCCTAAGATAGCATCCTATTAAGCAGCCCTTCCAACTTTTTTTCATGAGTAGGTTGATAAGGATCTTGATAAGGATTTTCATTTCAGGTTGATATGATTTCTCCTTCAAATCAAGCATCAAGAATATATCCTCAAAGACAAGTCACAATAATTTGCAAAGCTCAACCTTAAATCATGAGACAAACATGACAACAAGCACATGTAAGGATAATGAGTTTATTTATTAGAATAGATCTTCTAGATAGGCCAGTTATACAAATATGACATTTGGCAGTCATTTTATTTCCCAATTCAGTAATTAAAATGCAGCTTAGTTATGAAGGCACACTGGTAGTTCACGCATCAGTAACATCCAATATATCTGGCAAGAGGAACATATCTGTCCTACATTCTTTAAAAGCTGTTTGTTTCATTTCCTAAAGTGAATCTAAAATCACTAAGGACTTGAATCAGAACTAATCATACAGAAACCTGATCTGGACCCTCAGAGCTACCACAAGATGCTGGAGCTGTCAGTCAGCAATTCATACTTCTTTCACTTTTGTTTTCTCCTTTTCTGGTGAGACTGCTGGAAAACAGCACATTTGATGCCATTTCAGTTGGTAGCAATTACCAGAAAAATCTCAAGAATGGATTAGTAGTAAAGCGTTATATTAGTAAAAGCAAAATACTTGTATGCTGTATTTTGTATCAGAGAATTCAAGGTACTGCTCATTACAACTACTTTCAAATGCCTCCTCACCTTCTCTGCACAGTTTACTTATGCCATCTGGTAGCTCTCTTCAACTAAGAACAGCCCTTGTTTTAGACAAGCACCCTAGTTTGGTTTTACATCATAATACATACGGAGAACCCTCCTCACAGTCTCCACGTATTTATCATCAGAAATAGGTTTTCTCTTGCTTCCGGGCGCTAGGAACTTCTTGATTGTGGGGATGCTGCTTATCCTTTTTTTAAATGCCTAAAAGGGAAATGGTAAGAACATTGCATTTAAAAAGCAAAGTAAGACAAGAATATACACACTCATTTGTGTAAGTGGAGGATTTGAGTGAAGAGGGGAGCACTGACAGAAATCACTAAGCAAACAGTATCAGCTGCTGCTGAAGATACATGTCCAGTACTGCTCCGTCAGTACAGGAAATACTGATGAGACCTTTGTCTATGTTCACCTCAGTCTCCCTAATAAGTCATTAACATCCTTTAAAAAGTGGTTTGCAAATGCAAGACAAAAGAAATACCATCTTAGCTATGGGTAAATTTACCCTCTCTCACCCCAACTTCATTTTAAATAGTGATTAAACAGCCCTCCACCTTGTATTGAGGTACGATGATGCGGAAATAGTTACTTGTGGTTTCAGATGTGTATTCTCCTCAAATCATGTCTTAATCTAGAAAATACTTTCTGCTTCTGGCATTATAGAGCTGGTGAGAAGGGGGAAAAGAAGCAACCAAAAGAAAAGGAGAGTGGCTTTCTTCAGGCTTTATAGGAATTACTCTAAACAATAATACATTCTGTAGATGAGTCCTATTAGGATGTTCATCCTAAAGCAAGCAGAGCAAGACTACAACAAAAGAGTGACAGACACCTTCTCTTATGGAGCTGTCCACACAAAACAGACTTTGAAATGTCTTTCTTTCTACCATATCTCCAGCCATAAGGCATATTGTTAATGTAAGTCACCTGTAACAGAGGAAATCCCGAGAGAGCATCTGACTTCTTCTCTTCTACCATTAAAATGGCTTCAAGAAGATGAATATCTGCCCAGCTGAGACGGTTGCCAACAAGAAAGTCCTGGCCATGGTCTTTCAAAACCTAGAGATGTCAGAAACGAAAATGTTTCCAAGTGGATAAGCAGATGGAATTATCTTTTCAAAATGCTCAGGTACGCCTTTGGTAACAATTCTGTTCTATTCATCTTTCTCTCCCATGACACTAGGGTATTCCCAGAGTGGGAGATGTTAGTTCAATGCCTGCAATCACTGATCAGCTTATCTGTGAGCAGTCTTCCCAGCAGCAGTCTGAAATCCCAGGGTTTCTCTTACCCATCCTTCCTTCCTATTGCCCCAGGTAACACCACACCCTATATCATACTGGAATTTACAGACTAAGAAATCTTAGTATATATATATACAGACTATATATATATATATATATATACGGACTTATATATATATATATAATATATTTAACTCTGTTACAGCTTCAGTGAGAAAATAGAGATCAGCAAGATAAACACTGAGATCTGAACTTGGCCTATGCATCAGGCCATTTAGATTAGAAAACTTCGTTGCTTGGAAGTGCTCCTCCTACATCTGCCAGGGGAAACTTAAAAGCATTTTTGAAACTGTAGTAATAACTGTTTGTTACTGTGGTTAAAAATATAAATAAAAATGAAACATAGGAGGAAACAATTCTCCTACATACCTTTTCATATGCTGGGAAGTACCTGCTTGTAGCCTTCTGAACTACAAAGGCACACTGTTTCACTTTATCCTCAGCTGATAAGAATGGAAAAATCAACAAGAAGCCCATAAGGTCGTCTGTTCCCCCAACATACATGTCAATCCTTAAAAACAAACAACAAAACTTAAATAGGCTGGTGCCTTCACAAGCACAGATTTGCACAGTGTTAAAGTTGAATTTCCACATGCAGAAATAGATCAGTATTTAGTCACCTCTTGAATACCTCTGTCAAGTTATATTAATATTTTACTAGACAATGGGCCTACATATCAACCATTTTTTACATCGAGATAAACTGATCAGAACAAATTAGTTGGGTTGCATTTAACTGTGGCCTGTCAGTCTTACTGCAAATTACGCATCACCAAAGCAAAGGTGGTTCTCTGAGTATGCAAAATGCAGTTTATTCTTCATGTATCTAAACTACTATAATATGTTCAAGAAGGGTAGTACTGGTACAGTACAGGGTTCTCTCCTTCAGGTCCTTCCCATAGAGATTGTATTTCCCTGCTATGTAGTTGAGGATGGCTCTGGTCTGCACCAACTTCATCCCATCAATCTCCACCATGGGCACTTGCTGGAACACGAGGACTCCACCTAAAGAAAGAGAAAGCCACATATTACTGTATTGGTACATCTACATCCGATTTCTTCCTGAGTTTGCTCTAGGGAGTCTTTTTATTAAACTGGCATATTTCCATGCAAACAGTAAATTAAGACTAATTAAAGTGAAGAATGGAATAACTGTGGGTTATTAACCTTTAAAAACCAAAGTTCAGAGAAAGTGCAGGTAAGGCTGTGTACAACAGCTCTCATGATGAAACTGAAATACAATTTGGACAATCATGACACTAAACACATTAAGTAAGAAGCTTAGTTGACGTAAACTAATTCTAAATACATAAAAATGTATTTATTTCCTACTATTAAAACACAGATGGAACAAATGTTGGATTATAAAATTTCTTCCTTATAACCCGTATCTTAAGCTAAAGCAGAGCATTCCATGAACTTTTAGGATAAGCATGTGCAAGTTGCTGAAGCCTGGAATAAGGTTGTTGGATAACATTCCCATGGAATTAATTTCACAATGCTGCTTTCCTTGGGAATGAGAATCCAAGAATCCTGGCAAAGCTGTTTCAAAGCAAAATTTACACTCAGGGCCTACTATATTTTATGGCCATCTGACAATCAACTGCTGTAATGCTGAAGACTTGGGGAAAAAAAAAAAAAAAGTGAGGCCAGCCAGAAGCTGCGCATTCACCTAAGGTAAATTTTTGCCAACAAAGTTTTGGCAGCAGCACACAAACAAAAGAGCCAAGAGGACTGCAAAACTGCAAGCTGGAAGGACATTCAGTTTTCAGTTGTGCCTGCCCACATGTGAAAACATTCAGTCTCTGCAGCTGCTCAAAGCTCTGTTCTAATTCCCTCTTTTCCATATGGAAGTCGGTCCACACAGTCTTCAATCTTCTCTGGGACTGAGCGGAACCTGCTCACACTTATCTTGAGGTCTCATATGTACTCACTTTGCAGCAGTTTCTCATACTGCTCTCGTGTTTCCAAAAACACCTCTTCAAACTGGAAAAAAAAAAAAAAAAGTAAAAGAAAGAAAAGAATAAGGAAGAAAAAGAAATGAGCACCTTTAGACATTTCCAGAGCACACAAACTTGGGTGGTGCTTAACAAAGAAGACAGTGCACGCTCTGGCCCCTACATTCCAGACATGGCCCTAAGGGATTCACTGGCAAAATCTCCTAGAATCATAGAAATGCTCAGGTTGGAAAGATCTTAAGGATCATCAAGTCCAACCACAACCTAACCATACTACCCTAATTCTAATAACCCTCCACTAAATCATGTCCCTGAGCACCACATTCAAATGGTTTTTAAACATATGCAGGAATGGTGACTCAACCACCTCCCTGGGGAGCCTATTCCAGTGCTGAACAACCCTTTCTGCAAAGAAGTTTTTCTTGATATCCAGCCTAAACTTCCCCTGGCATAACTTGAGGCCATTTCCCCTCATCCTGTCACCTGTCACCAGTGAGAAGAGACCAACCCCACTCTCACTGTAAGCACCTTTCAGGTATTGCAAGAGAGCAGTAAGGTCTCCCCTCAGCCTCCTCCAGACTAAACAGCCCGTTTTTTTCAGTCTCTCCTCATAGGGCATATTCTCCAAGCCCTTCACAAGCCTTGTTGCCCTTCCTTGTTCCTCCTCCAGCATCTCCATGTCCCTTCTGTACTGAGGTGCCCAAAACTGAACACAGTACTTGAGGTGAAGCCTTACCAATGACGAGTACAGGGGCAGGATGACTTCCCTAGTCCTGCTCACCACACCATTCCTGATACAAGCCAGGACGCTATTGGCCTTGGCCACCTGGGCACACTGCTGGCTCTTATTCAGCCAACTGTCCATCAGTACACCAAGGTCCCTTTCCATCAGGCAGCTTTCCAGCCACTCTCCCCACGCCTGTTGGGTTGGCTGAGGTTGTTGTGACCCAGCACTTGGCCCTATTGAAACTCATACAGATAACCTTGTCCCATTGATCCAGTCCATCCAGGTCCCTCTGTAGTGCCTTTCTCCCCTCCAGCAGATCAACACTCCATTCCAAATTGATGTTTTACTGAGGGTGTACTCAATGGCCTCATCAAGATCATTAACAAAGATGTTAAATAGAAGCGGCCCCAGTACCAAGCTCTGGGGGACCCTGCTTGTGACTGGCTGTTAACTGGCTTTAACTCCATTGACCACAACTCTTTGGGCCCGGCCATGCAGCCAGTTTCACCCAGCAGAGCGTACGTCCATCCAAAAAGTGGGCAGCCAGCTTCTCCATGAGAATACTGTGGGGGACAGTGTCAAAGGCTTTAATGAAGTCCAGGTAGACCACATCAACAGCCTTACCTTCATCCAATAAGCAGGTCACCTTGCCATAGAACGAAATCAGGTTTGTCAAGCAGGATCCACCATTCATGAACCCATGCTGACTGGGCCTGATCCCCTGGTTCACCTTTAATTAATCCATGATGGCTCTCAAGATTATCTGTTCTATAACCTTCCCTGGCACTGATGTGAGACTGATAGGTCTGCAGCTACCAGGATCATCTTTCTGGCCCTTTTTGAAGATGGGTGTCACATTTGCCAGTCTCCAGTCCACCCAGACATCCCCAGTTAGCCAGGACTGCTGAAGAATAATGGAGAGTCACCTGCCAACCACATCTACCAAGTCCCTCAGCACTCTAGGGTGCAATCCGCCTGGCCCCATGGACTGGACTTGTCCAGCTTTTGAAGCAGGTCATGGATTATGGAGGGCTTATTCTGTTCCCCATTCCTATCTTCCAGAGCAAGGTGCTGTGCACCCTTAGTTTGAGAAATGCTGCTAAAGGCAACTCCAGCAGAAAATCTGGCATTAAGAACCAGAGTGAGGATGTTTTATTTGGTATTGAAGAGGGAATTTAACCTGAGACATTCAACAGGACAGAGCAGGCTGTCCTCACAGTGCTTTCTGATATGTGGAAAAGAGTTCTGCAGTGCAATAGGTTGATTTGGGAGCAAGACAGGAACAAATTATTAGAAAGTTAAAACAAATCCTTTGCAAAACAATGCTCAGTAATCATGCCAAGCAGGAAGTTTAATGCAGATACATGCTTAGGACATCTGAAGATGAATTATTCACCAGATGAAAAACAAACAGATGCAGAATTGCCTGTGATATGTATGATGTAGTTTCAATCACTGTGGTTAAAGATGGCTGTTAATTATGGAAGGAATCAGTTCAAGATGAAGACACCAATGTTAGGCATCCACGTATATGTGTTTGCATGTGCCATACATGTGTAGGTTGCTGTTACAGTCATCTTGTTCACTTCACCCTGCTACGCCTTCCTATATGGTGCAAACAGGACAATGCAAGTGCCCTGCTGCAGCTTACTGCAAAGGATGGAAGGAAAACATAAAAATCCTCAAATGAGCATTCCAACCGAAAAGATAAAGATCGGACAAAGCAAATTCACTGCTGTTTGCTTTGGCACACATTATATTTGTTATTCCCAGAACAAACATATCATTGAGCTCAATAGTGCTGGGTAAGGAACTTTAAGAAGGCTTAATCATTAATTGTTCTTGCATTAAGCAGAGTTCTGGATGATAGCATCATGTTTGAGAAGAGATGGAACTTAAACTTTAGTGCACCTAAATCGATTGAATTAAATGAATAGCCAGTACCTCCTATCGCATCTAGCAGTGCTTCTTTGATCAATGACCCATGTTCTGACTCCAGACAAGCTTAGAACACACAGAATAATGTTACAAAGATGAAACAAACCTCGACCCCAGCTGCAGCCAGCAGCCAGCGGATCGACTCCATTTTGCCTCTTCCATCAAAGTAGTAGAGTACAGGTTTTGCAGCCATGGCTTCAGACTTCCTTCACCTAAAAATGGAAAAGAAATCTGTTAATAAATGATTCAAAAAATGGATGGCTCTTGGGATACTGGTTCACAAGTCACCCACAGGACAGAAAATTGGGTTAATTTCAGACAAAACATTTCAGCAAAGCTGCTGTCTGTACAGATTTGGTTTTATTGTGGCATGGTCGCAGTTCCCCCCAAACCTTCAAAAAGAAAGCATCAGATGCTAAGCAGGAGATAACAAGAGTTGCCACTTGAGTGCATCAGCAGGTGTTAACAGAGCCATAGAGTCATTGAGGCTGGAAAATCGTAGAATAACAGAATCACAGAATCACCAAGGTAAGGTTGGGAAAGACCTCCCAGATCACCCCGTCCAGCCATCCACCCGCCACCAACACAGCCCCACCAACCATGTCCCCAGTACCGAAACCTTTCTGGAACACCTCCTGCGACGGTGACCCCGCCGCTCCCCGGGCAGCCCGCGCTGGCCTCACCAACGCAACTTTCAGCACAGTTACTCAGTCCATCGCCGCTAACAGCCACGTTTCCACCAAAGCGACATAACGGCTCACAGAGGCTTTCCAAGCAGGGCCACCCTTGAGTCAGAGCACCAGAAACACCCGCACACGAACACGGGAAGCCGTTTTCAGTCCCGGCTCCACACGCTCCCCGAGAGCCGCTCCCTGCCCGACACCCTGCACACCCCCCGCCTCGCAGGGCCGGGGTCGCACGTACCCCCGCCGCAGGTCGCTGCCCAGGAGCCAGTGGGTTCGGAGCGCGCGGCCGCGAGAGGCTCAGGGTCACACAGAGCGCGGGGCGAGTGCTCCGAGCCCTCCCGGTGCCGCCCCCCGAGGCAGGGCGGCCGGCACGGCCCCCCGCAGCCCGCCAGTGGGAAGGCTCTGCTTTGCATAACGCGCAAGGCCTGCTGGGTGGAATGCAAAGCGAGAAAGAATGTTAACGTGCGCCGAGTATTCTAGAGCAAAAGCGTTCAAGTCTGAAACAGTGCTGAGAGGTGCTTCTGCCGCCCGTTTCCTGGAACTTTCAGACCCACCGTGCGTCACCATGACCTGGAAGATATTACAGTATTTGTCCTTATATATCGCTTGTGGCGGCTCGTAGCTCTGGATGTGAGGGCGATCTGGCTGCGACATCTGTCACCCCATTGATCGCCAGGGTTGATTCGGCTGATCTGGCTGGCTAGGCGGGTGTCCCCTTCCTCCCTCACCGCTCCATGTGCGTCCCTCCCGAAGCTGCGCGCTCGGTCGAAGAGGACGACCTTCCCCGATAGAGACGGTACCGTTCATCGGTCAAGGGTATACGGTAGCTGCGCTCCCCTGCTAGAACCTCCAAACAAGCTCAAGGTCCATTTGTAGGAGAACGTAGGGTAGTCAAGCTTCCAAGACTGCAGACACATCCAAGTGAGGCACTGCATGGGGCAGTCTGCCATTGTTTTGTGCCCAGCCCCACGGGTTCCAAGGCGTTCCTCGTTCATCTTTGTCTCTCTACTTTTCCCTATTCGGTCCCAGCACGAGAAACAACTTGCGCTGCTCGTTCACTCTCCCACTGCTGCCCCCCAGATCTCTGAGCTCCTTCCTTCTCTTATGCACACACCACTACCCAGAACTGCCACACTTCTGCATGCATGCCTCACTTCTTGATCTCACATCTGGTTCTTCCCCTGTACAATCAGTTCCAAGCCACTGAAATTGCAGGAAAACAGTTGGGGTTAAAAGTTACCAATCGGCTTCTACTGCCTGGAAATGAGTGGGAGAAACAGGAGGAGCTGACACAAGATGGAGAGAACAAGTTATGTCCTCCTTCCAGGGTGCGATGTATTTCTCTAATGACATCAGAGAATATCCTGAGTTGGAAGGCACCCACAAGGACATCACGTCCACCTTCTGGCTTCACACAGAAACACTCCTAATCCAAACCCAATGTCTATGCGCACTGTCCAAATGCTCCCCGAACTCGAGCAGCTCAGGGCTGTGCCCACTGCCCTGGCAGCCTGTTCCATGCCCACCGCCTTCCAGTGAAGAACCAGCTCCTGCTATCCAGCCTGACCCTCCCTTCTACTCCCACACTTTAGTTAATTTCAGATTTGACATCCAAAGACTAACATATTAGATTAAAAGCTTACAGAACACAGCACAAATCATGTGCTTAGACTCACATCACATGGCCAAGGAACCTGCAGAAAGAGCGCAGGTACAGAGGCAGCAGCCACCAGAGAGGGCACCGAATGGAAGGCTTATTAAGTAACCATAAAGCAGCCAAACCAAAGCGTTGCTGTTAAAACTCAGCACAACGTAAGGACTCTCATCAGTCAGTATTTCTTCAAGAGTAACTTTATTCTGGGCAGGAGACTTGACAGAGAAGGAACGGAACAAACATATATAACCTTTTTGAACAAAAACATTGAATAAACAAGAACCATTATTTCTTTATAATCATACTTAACAATTCCACGCCCTTCCTCTAAATTCAAAACCGTTCTCCTTTATGAAATATCCCATTGGCACCAACAGCCTTACCAGATACTGAAACGCCACAGGAACCGTGGCTTTGTGGCTGATATTGTGGCACTGACACAAGACTCAGGAAGATCTGGACAGCAGAGGTGAATGAGGCCGTCGGCATGCTCCTTTATTCCCAGCAGTCATTACAACACGTAATGCTGAGAACAAGCAAACTGCAGAATTCCAACAACATTTTGCATAATGATGCTGCTAAACATTACAACACAAAGTAGGAGGCTACGTATGATAAATTCTCTGCTATGCTGCTTGTCCAGCTCTCAGTATAACCAACAGGCTGACAGCTTTTCCCTCTGCACTGTACTCAGACAGCACTGCACATTGCTCAATCAGGTTAATCCTTAAAAGAACACCCCCAACATCCTTTGCTTGAGTAAAGGCTACAAGAGTGATATCAATATACCAACATTTTGCAGTTTTCCCACCTCACTAAGCTGAAAGTAGCAGAAGTCATTCTGAATATCAAGATTATTAGCTTTTTTTCCCCCACAAAATATAGGCTTTTATTCAGGAAAGGAGGAGTTGTGGCAAAAGAAAAAAAAAAAAAAAAAAAAAAAAAAAAAAGAACTAAATCTAATACTTTTGCTGGACTGACCAAGACTGAACATCGTATCCAAGAAAACAGGGCTGGGCTGATGGGGGTTCAGATATACACAGGCCGAGTCCATATTCATCCTGTATCACTGTGACCGAATGGTTCCCATCATTAATAGGGAGAGGCCTGAGCATCTCCAGGGGAGTCCTCAGGTAAGCTGCATTTCTTGAGAGGAGATTCTCACTCCTCCCTGCTTTGGAAGAAGCTCAAGCTCAGGTGTGAGTAGGTAGGATGAGCCCAAGCCTCAGCAGCGTGCTCTCATGATTCATCTCATGCTTCCATTTGTAGGAATCGAATGTATGGAACAGACTACATAAACTGCCTACACAGGCCTAGGGATACTTAGGACAGGTTCAGGCTATTTCCCCTAAAACTGATTATTCAGCGAAAAAATAAATTAAATGATATCTAGACATAAATACAGATATTTATTTCCACCAAAAGAAACAACTATCTTTCCAGTTTCTGACACAAATATACATATTTCCCTCTCCACTTACCCAAACACAACACCAGCATGTGGTATAGAATTGGAATGGTCATTGCTACGCATTAACACTGCTGCTACAGAAGCTGTTATGTTCAGTTTGCTGTTAGCACATGTTAAGGACAAGTGCCTGGCGTAGCTGGACGTATCTGTGGCATGTGCAAGCCTTACGCACGTGCTTTTTTAATGCATAGACACTTCTGGTCCTTTTTGCCCTGTGAACTCGCTATAGATTCAGTCAGCAAAAGCCAACAGTGACCAGAGTCCCTCCTGATTCCCCACAGCACTGAGCCAGCAGTTTACTCTGGGGAGCAGTTTCCTGAGACCTGTGTGTTCTCATGGAAAGAGCTGAGAAGGCCAGGGCATGCTACCAGCCTCCAGCCCACAGCAGGTGCCCCCCATGGGGCAGGCCCACTGGCACATTTCTCTCCTTCCAAGCAGCCGGATGCCACCACACCTCTGATCCCTTCAGACCGGCTCTCACAAATTTCAGCCCGATCCATTGACAAAATGAGTTCAGATGAGGTTTCCCAAAAGCTGACCATTTGTGTACATTTCTGTGGGAAGATGCGTACATTTCAGCTTTGAAGATGCTCGTCCAAAATGCAGCTATGAAGGATGTCCTCCCACAGCACTGTAATTGTCTCAGCTACAGGACTAATCTTCTGTGGAAGGAGGTGAAGGAACAGCCAAATACTATGATCAAAATGAACCATTTGCTGATAGCTGAATGCCGGCGCTCCTTCCCAGTGCAGAAACAACCTGCCTTTGTCTAGAACCCTCTTGTTCCTTTTCTCCTTCAAACTGAATGGTTTTTAGCAGTCTGACATAAAGCCTCATTTTTACCCAGTAGAGTCGGGGGCCTAATTTACAGCAACTGACACACTCTTCACATCACAAGTGAAGACATAGAAATGAAGAAGAACTGAAGCTTGAACATATTCATTTGCTCCAAATTTCCATTTTTTTTCCCCTCAAAAGTCATTTGAAACAGTTACAAAGATTAAGTTAAATGCATAGATACTGTTTCCTTAAACTCTGCTGCAGGCATCTCACTAACACTTTTTCACTATGAAACCAGCTTTGTAATTCTCAATACTGCCTTAAATACGTATTTGGATCTTCTTTTCCCAACAACAGCAAAACCAGATCTCGGTGTTTCTCCTCATTAGTCATTAGGAAACATTTAAGCAAATTTAAGAGAGGTAGGTCCACATTCTATTTGATAGTGAACAACACCAAGAGGTAATTTTGAAGCATGACAAACGCAGTGTCAGAAAATAAATCTACTGATTATCCTTTATGAAACAAGATTACCCAGATTTGGTAAAAGCAAAAGAATGGGAGAGGAAAGCTGGACAGCGGTCCAACAAAAGCCTTGTAAAATTAAAGTAATAAATACAAAAAAGAAAAGCTTCCCACTGACTTGGGACTTCCAGCAGTCTCTCAGTGTCTGTAAAGGAGAGGTTGGACTGCTGCTCGCTCATTCCTTTGATGTACACAGCAAACGAGTACACAGCAGCAGCAGTGTGGCATCAAGACATGGCATCACTGAAATTAAACAATCTCACTTAGCACATAAGCTTTAGAAAACATCTAATGAATGCCCCTTCCTCGCTCTTCTCTTCCAACACAATATTGCACCGCTTTGCTTTATTTTTTCTTAAACTCATTTTTATAAAAATGTTGAATCCAAGAAAGAATTTAGAATTTAAAAAAGTTTGTTATAAAAATTTATCATATAAAAATGCCAAGATCCCTAAGCCATATATACAAAAGGTATCAGATTTATGAAAATAATTGGACCCAATTATATAACAAAATTTCATACAAAAAAAAAAAAAAAAAAAAAAAATTTTATAAAAAAAATTAAAAAAAAAAAAAAAAAAAAAAAGTACAAGATTGCATTGAAATTAACACAAATAAAAGTTAAAAAACAAAACCAAAGCAACCTTCAGAAAGGTCTCAACCGTAGAAGATCTGTTTCTTTTAAATTTACAAGTCTATAAAACATTAGAAAACTGTCACACGTCAGTCACCATGTGGGCAAGGAGATGCTGGGAGAGCATTTCTACGTGTCACCGGTGAGCTCCGTACTTTGCAGACCAGTCAACGCGGCCGTGCACTGGCTGCGCTGGGGGCGGGAGCGGCATTACCCCGGGGGGGCTTTTGGAAGGTGAGTTGAACGGTGGCCGTCCAAGATGGGGTCTTGCTGACTTCAGAGCAGCGTAATCTAAGGGGGAAAGAAAACTCCAAGAGGTTACGGTTGATTGAGGATTTGCTGATGTGACACAACGTGTGTGATCCAAACCTTAAAACCCTGTTATACAAGGAGCACTACACTTCAGATTGGCAAGTGTGAATCCTGTGCCAGCTCTCACATCAGACTCTAGGTTCCGTTGCAGTGTGCTTATTGGGTAACGGCTGTGGTTAAAACACGTAATTCATGAACTAAATAAAAATAACCCTCCAATACATGAAGCTCTGCAAGGCTATGAGCAGTAGTTCCAGTCGCTCAAATAATTACAGAGTCAAGCACCAATCTGTAACATAATGCTGCATATACACAGAATAACCAAAGCAACAGCAAGGGACCAAGATGGTGGTGGTACCACACTTACTTGACGATCGATCTGCAATTGGCGCTAACTGAACCCTCTGCCCAGCAGAGCCTACTTCCTTCTTCAGAAATGAAGGGATATAGCCACCAGTCAGAGCACTTGATGCTATGGGACCTGAAAGAAAAAGCAAGGGACATCTGTGGCCAATGCAATCCATCTCCTGCACAGGTTACAGAGGTGCAAAGTGACGGGCCGTATTTGAGATGAAAGCTGATCAGGGACTGATGGAAACAAGAACTTTGCCAAAGATACCAAAAGTGCACAGATCCTTTATATGCCTGCATTCATCCCAGTAGACTGTGGGAAATGATGGTAATAAGAAGGGGAAACCTAATGACTTCCTATGAAGCTACCAGAAAAAAAAAAAAAAAAAAAAAAAGTCAAAAAGCAGTAGAAGAGCCAAGAAGGAGCCTGGCTATCTATATGAAGGTTCTCATGTAGTTTAGCCATTTACATTCAGCCATTTAGCTCATGACCAGGCTTCACAAAAGGAACAGGCACAGTAGCATGTATCTTTGGAGATGGCAATGTACTAGAAATAGGTGACCCCAAAACACAGCTATGTGGAACTGTGGGACCACCTTACCTGAATTTATCCTGTTAATACTTCCTCCCAAAACTGAAGCTTTTCCAGGCAAACCAGAACTGGGCCAGGGATTAGATGGAACAGACTCCTTGCTTGAAGTGGAGACCATGCTATTTCTTGTGCTTACTCCTATTGCAAAAAAAGTAACAATTACCATGCTGAAAATCTCGTTTTACACAGATTTGCACACATTCCATCTGACGCACAACTGTGGAATAACTATTAAGTTCAGTGAACTCAACCAAAACCTTTTCACCCTACCATGCCTCTGGCTTACTTCCCATCCTCTCACACTCTATGAGAGGCCACAAGCCCTCCTCCTGAAATTATACTTGTGTAAAGAGTCCCACTAGTGTCAATGGCTGTTTATGCCAAGACAGGATCCTTAGCATCAAGGCCACAAATTCTGTGCTTCACACCAAACACAACATTATACAGCCTGACAAGATACCCTGGGACTGAGTAAAGGTAGACAATGTCTCTCAAAGTACTGCACTCTTCTCTGATTATCTACTGAAACCACTGAGTTTGCAAACACTCTGCAGTAGAATTCATACATCACGTATTATTTGTGTTTAATACACAGACTTTACTATGTAAGCAGGATATCCAACATGCAAGGATATGCTCAAGTTTACAGTAAAGCTAAAGCAGGCTTGGGATGAAGGGATTTTACTACCTCCTTTGATAACAAAACTTTTAGCTACCAAACTCTGTTTAAATGAGACAATCTGAAAGTGTCTGAAATGGTGAAGTCACACATCATCTTTTTTTTTTTTTCCTCAGGAAAAAAGGCCAAGTCTTACATCATGGGATCTTCTCAACTTCAGCAACTTTGGAGTATTCATCCTATAAGTTAAGGAGCCGCTGCTACTGCCTTTGTAAACAGAAATTACGAAACGGGACATTTTTATATTCGGTTCATTTTAATTATAGGCAGCCACACTCCCCAGTCCTGTACTTCACTCTAGTTCAGCGCTAGTCTCATTATAACTGGAGGTTGCTCTATTGGCATGCAGCTCCTCTACAGACGCAGGATTTGGATTCTATAAAATCCCAAGCTGTGGCAAAGCATATTCCATTATCAGCTAGCTCCTGTTGTTCATGGTATTACATACCCAGGCAAGTTCAGGGCACTATTTTTTCCAGTCTACAAGATCAGCCTTATTTTTCTAAGGGGAACAGGGAATAGCCTGGCACATTAGTAGACATTTTCTAATACACTTTGAAATATAAAAGAGCATCTGGCAGGAGGAAAAAATGCCAGCATCCTCTTCACATAAACAGAATTCATCTCAGTTGCTAGACTGCTAGAACGCAGTTAGCATTATAGCCACCTGCATAAGCAAGAAAGCTCCTCCTCTCCTTCCTTTAAGCAGCAGCCCCATCTCCACAAGCTCAAAGGATAAGGAATAATGCATTCGTGACTATTTCATACTGTTTCTGGAATCACAGGAGGAAAAAGAAACGAGTATTTTTTTACTAACCGGGTAGATACCTAGAATGTCTCAGGTAGTGCTGCTTTGCTGCAGAAACTTGCAGCGTTGGGGTGTCCTGCCGTGGGAAGATGGCATGGGATGGTGCACTGCTGCCAGAGCCAACTGCATCCAAAGGCTTCAGGTCCAAAATGCTTTCAAATCTATAACCCAAAAATTGCTACACTTAGTCCAAAACTTATAGCATATGTTTAACCACAGTTGGCTCTCTTCCATCTCATCTCCACGAATCATTTCCTCACTGTGCTCACTACAGCATAAACACACAGACAACAGGGAATGTTTTCAGCCTGAAGCTGTATGAGCACTCCTGAAAGTCTGACCCGCACTTGCAGCTCCCTTATAAATGGCTTCATCAGTTTTTGTATCTCAATTAGTTTTTCTCTTCTGCTTCTAATCCACAGAAAATACAGCTTAGAGTAATGCAAAACATGTGTGAAATACGTTGAAATGGTTCACATGGCAAACAGAAAGCATGTATCAGAAGATTAACCTGGAAATATTTACATTAGGCATTATTTTCAGCAGGGAAAAATGAGCAAGGAATTGCTTAGAGACGTGCACTGTCCATGAAAGAAGATGTAGTAATTGAAAAGTCAGCATTTAACAAGAAGCCATAACAAACTAACAGATAGGAAAACTGCATGTCCTTGACTGGCATGGATATATGTTTCTAGATCCATAGAAAGCATAAAGAGCAACACTATGGGCAAAAAAAGAAAAAAAATAAGAGAAAAAAAAGAAAAATGATGTGAAATGTAAGGAAATAAGTTCAAATATAACAAAACCCAACTTACCTACAAGTAGTTTCATCATTCTGCCTCTTTTTGTTTTTCAAGTCAACCCTTGTGATAGAAGAGCTGAAATCAAGGTCTTCCAAGTCATCCCACTCTTCAGAATTCTTCACTGGCCCAGCAAGATGTCCCCACCTTCGCCTAGCTTTTGGCTTAAGTTCACCATTTATGTTCTCAGTCCCAGTAGATGCTTTCTATTACAGTGATTGGAAAACAAGACAAAACAAAACCTCACACACTTACAACACAAACCAGGTGATAAGACCAAAGCATCTTTTTTCCTGCCTTAAAGGACAGGATTGGTTGCAGAGCTGTAGCAGAAATCTAGCTTTCATTAAGCTTGCTAAGAACACAATCTGTAGCCTGTAGACACCACTACTTCTCCATTTTATCCTACATCATAATATCTTACACTGACAGAAGAATATATTCCTTAGGTCTCATTTCCAATCCTACTTATCTTTTGCTATACAGCTTCAGAAAAAGTAGCTCACTCTTGATTTTTATTTCTTGATCCATCTTGGGAGTACCAAACCACAATTACATTCATGTTTTCACAAGCCCATACCTAGACATTTATAAAATATATTTTACTTGTGGCACTGTGCAGATAAAAAACTGTGTCACCTCAGCCACTTAACTGCATTCGTACAATTGAACTTTGTGCAAATCAGTCAATGGCCAGTACAGACAGCCTCAAGTAAAGACCAACTGCTTGCATTTACCCTTCTTTAGTCACCTAACTGGTCTTCTTAATCAAAAGAAATGGCAGGTTCTTATTCTGAAAGAAAAACCTTGTCTTCCATGGCAAGTACAGAAGCTCGAATGGACTAGCTGTCCTGGTCATGTAATCTGGAAGACTTAAATGGACTAAAGTAACAGCTCACCATCTGAATTCAATTCCATTCAGTTGGATACTTTTTTTTTCTATGGAATGAAACCCAGTGATATTCTGACTCCTGTAGATCATTTCAGTCACGTAAAATCATCCTTCAAACACCCTACTCCACAAAGGGGAACGTAACATGTCTTGAATTGAGACATCAACTTGCTTGTTTTACAGTAATCAAAATTAGATTTTGATTTCAACATACTAACCTCCAGTTTATGACAGGAAGTTATTGCTGCTGCTTTTTTCTCCCATTTCCTATACTTTTAGCACAGTATAAGAATCTTATGCAAGAGAACAAGAAAAAAACCAAACATCATTAAGGAGAATCTGTACGCTAGATGAACCTTTACCTGCTGAGGAACCTTATTGTGAATTGCAGGCAGAAGAACCTGGTTCGACTTGTCCTCCTGTAAATATTTACTGTGATCAGCCCCAGAGTTGTCTGTCTTACACGGATAGACCAAATGTTGAGAAGTGTGGCTTTGCTGAAATGGCCGTGAAGAAATGCGGGCATGGGATTTTGAAGGAGGTTGTGCTGGAGGGACAGGCTTAATATGCAGAGATGATTTATCATGGAGTTCCTTTGGTCTCGTCAGCTCCTGAAGGCCTAAAGCATGTCCAACCTGGAAGTATGGATATCGAAGTGCCTAAAACATAATGAAAACGTTAGGAGCCAATTTAGGAATCCACAGTTTCTAACTTACTCTTGCTCTATGGGACAGCACAAATTTTAGTGCTCTTTTTCGGGAATAGAAAACAGCAGATGCTCTTGTCTGAACACCAGGAAATACTTTACTGTGAGAGTGACTGAGCACTGGTACAGAGAAGTTATGGAGGAGTCTCCATTCTTGGAGACAACCCAAAGCTGTATGGACATGGTCTGTGCAACAGGCTCTGGGTGGCCCTGCTGAGCAGGAAGGTTGAAGCAGGCAGACCAAGAGGCTCCTGCCAACCTCAGCCACTCTGTGATTCTGCGACGCCCACCAACAGCAATGAAAGTACAGCATCACAGCCTTCAGCCACACATCCAGCCTTCACTCTATAACTCACTGTGGCTGGGTTATACTTCATTTAGGTGTACAGCTCTCACACATTTGATCATTGAGGACTTGCCTCATGCAGCTGATGCTGCATGCAACAGATTAATAACTTCCTGTTAATTACTCCTTTTTGTCTTGGAAACTGTTCTTGGCTTCTGCTCTTTTCCCTTCCAAGAACAGCATTCTTGAGCAACTGTTGAGTACCTGCCTATACACAGTGACTTGCAGTGAAAAGAAGAGTCATATGCAGAAATGAGAAAGAAAACAAAATCAAACCTGGCTGGCTGTTGGCCGCTTTTTGGGATCCCACTGCAGCATGTCTCTCATCAGTTGCACTGCCTCACTGCTAGCATTAGGTATGAGGGTTTTTAAGTTGTTAGGTACACACTGAGGCCAGCGAAAATTCATGGAGGATGAAAGCTGGTAGCCTTCAGGCCAGTCATTCTGGGAGAATGAAATTTCCAAACACAAAGAAAATTCAAGTGTAAAATATCACAGTGCCTAAAAGCACTAGCACATATTCTCCAATCAGTTACAGGCTGCAACCAGCCATTCTGTGGCCACCTAAACATTCTGAAGGTTTCACCAAACATTTTCACCTCAAAGCTCTAGTGGAAAGTAAGGGCTTTATGTTTGATCATGTCAAAGGCACAAATGTGAACAGGACATAGGAGTTATCCACGATTTTTTTATCCTCTTAAAGCATTGCTTGAAATGCAAGAAACGATGAAATTTCAATGTCAAGATGAATCACAAAGTCTAATGACTTTGTTTGCTATTCAGGAGTCTACTTCTCCTCCTCTACACATCAGTTTTTACAGTAAAACTACATCATGCTGATGCAGTAAGTGTAAAGTCAAGTAAAATTATTATGTATTGTAGATCATTACTGCAGAGTGGAATGTGACTGTACCTACCTTCTTTGGTGTCCCCAAAACTTGGCAAATTTTGAATATTGTATCAATTTCACTGGCACCTGGGAAGAGAGGCCTCAGTGTATAAACTTCTGCCATTATACAACCAACAGCCCAAATGTCTATAGGAGAGCTATAGCTGGTGGATCTCAGAAGGACTTCAGGAGCCCTGTACCTGAGAGAGAGGAAAAGAAAAAAATCACAACCATCAACACAATTCAAGAGCAGTCATATACAGAACCATTCAGCTTTTTGTTCTTTCCAGTTAACAGCAAAGATGACTTACAAGGTTCCTACCTTCCTTTATTTCCTAGAAAAAAAGAATTAAAAAAAACTACATAAGCCCTTTAAGTTCTCTTATATCTTCCTGACATGCAGCATTCCCACCACATCCCACCTGTGCCATCAGATCCCCCTCAGTTCCTGCTCTGGTGCTATCTGCCAACCGCCTTGCACCACCTGAAGCTTTTTGAATTATGCTCAGCTTAAATAAAAGTTTCATCAAGAGGATGAATCAAGAGCAGTATTATATTCTGCAGAAATGTTACACTGCTTATTTATGAGCTTCATTTTAAGACCTGCAGATTCCCACAACGTCAAGAAATACTTTTGCTTACCATCTAGTGGATACATAATCGGTGTAAGGAGGCCTGGATCGGATTTCTCGGGCTAAGCCAAAGTCTGCTATTTTTACAAGTTCTGGTCCCATGCAAAGGAGGTTTTCAGGTTTTAAGTCTCTGTGAAAGAATCCTAAAATTCAAATAAAATATTGACGTGCATTGCAGTGCCACACCCAGCTGTCACCTTTATTTTCCACCTACACTGTTTCACTTCTTACTGATGAAGCTTGAATAGCACCACACAGAACCGAATGTCTTCAATGCCCAAGAAAGGCAGCCAGCATAATGATTGTTCAACAGTTTATGAAGAACTAATCAACTACTCTGTAACAACTGTGAACAGTCAGGCAGGTAACTCCCCTTCAGGTGGCTCTTCCTTTAAAAAAATAACAAATACTATTTTAATGCTAGCTTTATTCTAATTATGATGGAAAGTGTGCAAGGAAGTGATTAAAACTTTTTACTTCAAAGCTTTTTTAAAAAATAGAAATTGAAATAGGAGCTGATTTTTGTATTTTGAAGCCTGTTTTTTTTCCTATCTAAGAACTTCTTAACAGTCTGCAAGCACTGATAACCTATCAGGCAGTGGATATCAGTATATTTTTTTCTTTTTATAGAGCTCTCTGCATTCAGAGAATAATAAACAGTAAGATATCCTTTATTCTCAATCTCAGGTGACCTCTAAATTTATCAGGACTGTGGCCATTAACATCAGACAAGTTACAGAAGGCTGCTAGCTGCCCACTACAGAATGTGGAAATCCATAGAAAAGAAACTAAGCAAACCTCCAAAATGCAACATCAGGCAGCTATAAAATACAGATACCTGCCCTCTATTTTCTGTAACACAAATTGCTAGTTTAGTGCCACTCATAGAATCATAGAATAGCTAAGATTGGAAAAGACCTCAAAGATCATCAAGTCCAACCACCACCCAACATACCACCCTAACTCTAACAACCCTCTGCTAAATCATGTTCCTGAGCACCACATCCAAATGGTTTTTAAACACATCCAGGGATGGTGACTCAACCACCTCCCTGGGGAGCCTATTCCAGTGCTGAACAACCCTTTCTGTAAAGTTTTTCCTGATATCCAACCCAAGTTGTACACAACTTAAGGCCATTTCCCCTCTTCCTGTCACCCGTCATCAGTGAGAAGAGACCAGCCCTGCTCTGCTGTAAGCACCTTTCAGGTATTTGACGAGAGCAGTAAGAGAACACTCTTCTGATGACTCCCTTATATGAAAGTTAGTAATGTATTTGTACTCACTGAAACAAACAAACAAAAACCTTACACAGAGGTTATCTCATTCTAACTCAAAGTATTTACAGCTAAAACATAGCTTACCATGCTTATGGATAAATGCAAGCCCTTGCAGGATCTGATACATAATATTCCTAACTGTAGCCTCAGGAAACAGTTTGTTTCTACAGGACAAAAAGGAAAAAAAAAAAAAAAAAGAGGAAAGAAATGTTAATTATTAAGTTTACATATTAACTTATGCTTCTTATGAACCAAAGAGAACAGCTAACAATAACAGTAAAACTCTTAGATACACTCTAAGCACTCTCTGGTAGTTCATTGCTCCATGAAAACTTGCATGGCACTTTTACAATCTGTACCAGCAAAAACAAGAGGCTCTTCTCATGATATTTAGCCTAGATCAGCCATAGCAGGCAGTTTAATGATAGACCCTTTCACCAACAGAAGGTTAAAATTAAGCAGCTCTGTATCAGCTGCCTCTGCACATCATTGTATGTACAGATGGTTTGGGAGGATGGGGAGGGGAAAAAAATTGGCCATAAGAGTGAAAGAAGATGGTCTGGGTTTTACTGAATTTCCTGAGCTCTAAAGAATGATCATCACATATTTTGGAAGTGACATCTGCTCCTACAGCCAACTTTTCAGCCTTTCTTACTTTTTCAAATTACAACAGAAAGAAAAATTCTCCACAGTCCCTTTACACAGAAATAGTAACTCAAAGATTTAAGAATATAAATCTGATCAATCAGATCTTTACACATGAGATATCTAACCAGTCTGAGAGCTGGCTAAACTGAAAAGAACATGGTGTCCTGCATGCTTTCATAGACATCTGCCTTTTTGGTTTTCATATGGAGGTAGACTATATTCAGCATTTCTATGAATTTCTGTGATGATGATAGAGATCACTGGTCTGTATCTTAGGCACTAGAACTATTTTCTCAAGCTTTGTTATTTCATGTAATTAAAGATCAGCACCTACATCTACGTGCACAATTTAGTGAAAGCTGTTCTATACCTATGCATGCACAGTAAGTATCTCTACTTTTAAAAAGGTATTTTATTAAGTACTTATGAAATATTCACAGAGATACACTATGATGATAATAAGCCCTCTCACTGGCTTATTCTGAAGTCATAGGACAAAAATGGCTTCTTCCGAATGATTCAATGCAGAAAGATATTTTATCCCCAGATTGTCCTCTGGAGGATCCTATCATGGTCTAAAAGGTAAAATTAACACCTTATCGAAGAGGTAGAAGATTCTGAGAAAACTGACAGACAAAACAGTCAATCTTCTGAATATGTCAGACAAAATTGCAAGGCAAAAAGAAAAAAAAGAAAAAAAAAGAAAATAAGAAAGAAGATTCCTAGAAGCAATCCACAATTAGACCTTTCACAGTTGCTATTTCAATCACTTCTTATTCACTTATTTGAGAAAGCCGAATTAGAAGCATAGGAAGTAGCTATCTCTAATACAAAATCATTGCCAGCTAGAGTATTTATCTAGAAATCAGAAGTTTAATGCCTCTTCAGTCTGAGAGACATTAAAAGTCTTCAGTTCCTAATTTTCAAAAGAGTATCCAATTTATCTACCAGGCTAATCTGAGAAGAGACACAGGAAACTCTCCTTAAACTGCCTGAGATATGCTCAAAGGGGAAAGCCATAGCTCCTGCTGTATCACAAAGACTTGAGCCCTAGTGATCTAAGCATAAGCAAATGATCCAAACTCCTCTGAAAAACAGCAGAGGCGTTAAAAGTAAGCTGAATGAGCACATTACACAAGTAATTAAGAGCAGGTGATGTTTTTACATACCTTTCTTTCATTAACTGATAAAGATTTTCCTTCATGTACTCAAACACAAAATAGAGATGATCATTTTCCCTGATGACTTCTTTCAGCTTTACTACATTGGCATGGTTTAGTTTCTTCAAAGACTGGAAGCAGAAAACACAAACAGTATTTTACTGGGTCTTACTCAAACAGAAACAAAAAGATGATTTCACTGATGCAGGAGACTTGGCTTCAAAACTTTAACATTTAAGTAATTAGACAGCTATGAGACCAAAGACCGAATTCTCAAATATTGCTACCTGAAGTGTATATACACATCAGCACAATGCGCAGCTGGTCCCCCATAAGCCAGCTGTTTGGCAGCACAGTAGGTACCAAAACAATGGTATTTTCTCTATATAGAGCTTCCCACTGGCAGAATTTGCATCACTTGCACTGATGACAGTCAGGTTAGACTCAGGACGAAGTAAAACCCTGGAAATCATTGTTGGTTCTTCATCCTCTCTTCTTTCTAGATTTTTTGTTGGACATTCATTCTTGCAGTAGCAACACTACTAGCTGTACTAGAAGAAAATGCATCATCCTGGAAGAACGACCTAGGTATGTTTGCAAGAGTTTGCAAAGCCTAGAAATTAAGGGAGACCTTAAAAACATACCCTTAACGCTTTGCTAGCATCAGAATTTCATGCTACAGGACCATCTCCAAACCAACTACCCAGACAAAAGCAGCTGCATATACAAAGGTTTCAGCTGAGTGAAGACCAGGTGTTGTCTAGCTCCACAAAACACACCAACCAATTCCAGGTTTCATGATAAGAAAGCTGTCTCCCACACTTACCACCCTCACTGGAAGCAAGGCTGCACAACAATATGCATTTTTTCTTAAAACTGCAGTACTTCCATAACATTACTGTCACCCCAGTCAAATGCAAAGAGGCAGGAAACAGAACTGTAGCAACAACATCCACAGCAATTTTGTGGGAGACTTTTTGCCAAAAGAGGTAGAAATAATTTGTTGTTACCCAAAGATGTGTGAGGGATCTTTTAATATAAGTCAGCCATTGAATGAAGCAAGTACCTTAACTTCACGAAGATTCATGCATTCCTCCCAGGAATAAAACTTTCTCTTCATTCTACAACAGTAGAGGGAAAAACAATTAATACATGGTCAACATCAGCTACAGTCTTAGACCTAGAAGTCTCATTACAGCTCAGGAATTCAAATCCACCATCTAAATACAAAGGTGTCATCTCCTTTGTCAAAAAAAACCTCTGGATTTTTAGGCAAAGTACATTCTAGTAGAATTTTAAAGCGATAGTATTGTATGGGATGCCCTATTTTGCACATGTATCCTTTTGCAGAGATGTAAGAGCCTTCAGCAAGTTGGAATATATAATTTTTCTTTCTAGTATACAATCTGATGGAGAAGAATATAATGGTAAAAAGAACAAGGGCAACAAGTCATGATTGAGTCAGACTAGTTTTGAAACAAATCTATTGAAAATCAAGTTAGATCATGGCATGGGCTGTCCAACTTCATCATATTCTATTTGTTCCTCTCCTCTACATTTTGATTTCTTTGTAATTTTACACATATAATTTCCCCTTATTTCCTTGTTTTTCAGTGCTCACTGCTCCCTTGCTAGTTTCCTCTACCATGCCAACTTCCTTTTCAGTTTTGCCTCTCCTTTCAAGCTCACAAGCAACTCTGCTTCAACAGGAGCAAGACACAAGACAGATCTTTTCTATCCTAATTCAGAATACAGCTGTGCAAAGTATTAATGTGTGAAGTATGGTCTTACATGTTCAAACATTCTGATAGTGAATCAGCTCTTTCACGTAACAGTACTTTCAGAAGCCCAGAATGAAAGCAATATGTGTACATACACACAGAACAGCACAGATTACACTTAGCTACATAACTGCCTTGAATCTGGATTTCAGAGGGAGTGAGGTACCCTTTGAAGATCTGAGTCTTTGTCAGAATTCACTAAGAATCTTTATAATAAGAATACTTCTTACTATTGCAGTGATTTTCCAGTTTGAAATCAGTTCTCAGAAGATTTTAAATATACTGACATGGTCTTCATTTCTTGAAGAATTTTATATTTTTGTTTGTGTAAGCAGTGTTCTTGCAATTAACATCTTGTCCTGCCAGGTACCAGTTCACAATTCTGCTCTTAATAATGGGTTGGCATTCAAATGTAAGAGCACAAACTACTGTTTTGTGGTATGTTCTGAAATATTTGAGTTTCTACCATGCTGTAAAATGAAAATCAAAAGTGTTTCTGGCAAGGTTTGGTGCAGGTAAAACATTCTCAGCACAGAGAATTTGCTGAAGCCATCCATTGACTATTCATACAAAACAACACTGTGCTGAAAGCTCTTTTGACAAGTACATCCCTGGGTCAAGGCTGGTATTTCAGGAAAGTGACTGCAGCACAATGCCTCTTACCACAACCAGGACAAATAAGTCTTTTACAAACTGAGGTCATAACCGAAGCAGCACAGAAAAAAATGAGAAAAATCAAGCAGATTTCTCCAAGACTATTAAGAAAAAACATAAGCTGAAACTACTGATAATTAATAGAATAAAAAGTTGATACATTAGATCTCATTTTTTTTTTCTTTACCACTGCAGTATTAACAAGATACTGGGAATTAGACCATGAAATGTATGTCCCATGCATGCAGCAGGGAAGAGAGTGCAGATTCCCAAAGCAGCATTGCAGAACAGTCTAAATAATACACATGCATCTGACAGCACGTAGTAGCTGAGCACTATTACAATATATCTATGTATTTCAGCCTTGTATTTTCTGCTCGAGCTGGGGAGGATATAAAGAACCTGTTTTGAGAGGAAGCATATGGAGCCCAGCTGCAAGTATGGATGTCACGTAGCATCTGGAGAGCTCGAGTCAGTGCACGACCAGGTGATGCAAATCACAGAACAGAAAAATTGGGATCATCCAGCATCAGCTAACAAAGGAAAATACTTACTTTTTAATGGCTATTAGCTCCCCAGATTCAATGCTTCTCCCTAGGAGGACAGAGCCGTAGGTCCCATCACCAAGCTGTCTGATGGTTGTGTACCTATTCATGATGAGGATACTTTAGCTGCAAGCGCATTTGAGTCCTTAGTGTTTCTTCTCCGACTGTAACCAGTTCTTTCTGTGGCAGCATAAATACAGAGCACTCAGGACAGTGTCAACAGTTGCAGGAATCATGTTTTCAAGACTTAGCCTTTGGTCTGAAAGCACAGAACATAATCCACTTGATTTCTGTACCCTTCCAAGATTGCTCACTTGCAGACCCCATTCTCTCCTCAAAGAAACAGCCCTTGGAAGCTATAATCAAATACCTGCTTCAGTTCCCCTGTCAGCTGAAGCAGACAGCTTTTATCTGGGTGTAACTGTTCCCCAAATCCATTTGCTCACTAAAGCTAAAGGCCCCTTCTGGAAAGCTTGTAGCCCTCCCCTGAGGGTACGTACTAGTAATGAAAACAGAAGATGAAGCCTCACAGCTTATGTTATAAAACATTATGCACGCATCAGAAAATGCCAAATGCATTTCAGTGCAGCACTCCTAAGAATGGATCTGTCTCTAGCAGTGGACACATCATCCATAAAGAAAGATAGTCTATATTCCCTTATTTAATCTAACTGCTACAAACGTTTCCTAATCTTTACAATACTTTAGAACAAGTGTGATCTATGTTGATTATTCATACATTTGGAATAAAACAAAATTCTTCTGCTATCACTGAGTCTGGTCCCTGCTTTCTTTTTTCTCCAGCTCTCAGAAGACAGCAACGTTCCTGCCGTGCGACTTCTGCCTTCTGAAGCCTGCATTCCAAAAGCTCACCTTATTTCTGAAGCCTGCATTCCAAAAGCTCACCTTATTTCACAAAGCCAAATGACTACTGTAAAAGGAATCCATTGTTTGAACTCTGTAACCATTATCAGTGCAGAACCACAACTTTGTATTTGCAGGATGTTGCTAAGATTCTTTGTTTTCAGTTATCTAAGCCTATCAGTCCCACTAATACAGGAACAAACAAACAAATTAGGAAATACAGCCACAACACACCTTTGGCCGATTTTACACATTTTTTATGAGAAAAGCAATCTGCTTCAACCTAGAGCATTTTCAAGAATGGCAATGAAACTTATGAAGGTTTCCAAAGGAAAGGTAAATGTGACACTGAGGGACATAGTTCAGTGAGCACAGTGGTGACGGGTTGATGGTTGAATTACACGATCATAGAGGTCTTTTCCAACCTTAATAATTCCATGATTCTGTGTTCCTGCCTTTGACACCAGGCAGTGTGTAGGGCAGGTGGGAGGAGCTGCCCCGCAGCAGGACCAGCTTCTCTCCACACACTGCTTTGGGGAACCATGACTGAGTAGATTTAGTTGGAGACCCAGTCCCACATTTTGTACTGCTCACCATGGAGCACAGAGTCTGGACAGCACTTTGGAATACCAGTTTCTTTTTGGCTAGTTTCCAGGCTGCACACCTGCTATGGTTTTATGATTTCTGTTATTAGTATTGCATACCATAGCATCATGAATTGCATAATTGGGAGTTACAGAGTTAATGCTACATTTCCATGCATAGTTGATATTTCTGGGTATCTGGTTCTCAGAAGAGAAGAACTACATCTCCCAGAAGACTTTGCTGTTCTGTTTTGGTTTTCTGTTTAGAGGGAAAGATAAAACTGCTCATGAGTCAGGAGAACGTCCCATTATTTTACTGCTTGTCTCTGCATGTGTGCACCCTAGCTGTATTGCCTTCAACACTAGAATAAGGCCTTCAGTTTTGGACACTCTCTCATTTTATTTATTAGCTTCAATTCCAGTTATATTGCATTATATTGTGTTATCTTGCATTCCACCTCTTACCAAATTATTTTTTTCCCTTAGTTTACTAAGCCTCTGGTTTTAGGTCTATCTCCCCACCCCCTCCCCCCTCCCTGGGGCATCGGTCCGTGGGTCCCCCCATCCCAATTAGTCACTGCACTGGCCAAAGTGGCCCAGAAAACTGCTGACAACACCAGCATAGTATAAATGTGTGTTCAGGCCACGTTCACTCAGCATCCACGTGAACAGCTTTGGTTACTCCAGCTGTCAGTAGCCCTGGTTCTCAGCCCTTATCCACACTGGGGATACTTCTTCAAGCCTCTGCCTTTCACAGCCACTGATTTTCATTGAGCCTGTAAGAAGCTCTCTTGGTACTCCAGCTCTGCTGCCAAACATAACCAAAACAACAAACAGACTGAAACACTGCTGATGTGTTAGGGGGAAGCATGGAATCATTAAGGTTGGATAAGACCCATAAGACCACTAGTCTAACCTCCAGCCCATTCCCACCATGCCCACTAACCATAGCCCTCAGTGCCACATCTACACAGTTCTTTAACGCCTCCAGGGACAGTGATCCCACCACCTCCCAGGCCGCCCAGTGCAGCATCTCGGCACACCACCCCCAGCCTGCTCCCCTCAAGGTACTCACACCCCACCACCATTCCTCCTCACTCAGAAAACCCAAACGTGGGGCGCACCCAAGGGTCACACTAGGTTGGTGCCATGTACCCCACAGCCCAGCGTTAAGCAAGCGTTAAACTCCCACAGGCATGCGTGACACTTACTGAAGCCAGCTGGAGCTGCGCGTACTTATTTAAAAGTGACTTCTGCTTTAAGACATCTCTCTGCCATCCCACAAGCACACACACACACACACCCAACGACGGGGCTTCGTTCCTGAATGAGGAGAGCACTATGCAGCCCACTGACAGGGCTTTGTTCCTGAATGAGGAGAGATGCGCCCAGGCAGAGCAGCCTGAACGCTCTAGCAAAAAACCATCACGAGATGGGTCGTACACGTCTCGCCGAGCACAGCACCTCCACACCTCGGCATGCCACGAGCCCGTGCCGCCTGCCCCCAGGCACGCCGCGTACCCGAGCATCTCGCCCCGCCGCCCCACAACACAAGGGCTGGCGCTGCGCCCAGCGGCCCCGGGGCGGCTCTCTCCTCCCAGCCCCGTCGGCCGAGGCCCGTCCCGCAGCGGCCGCCACGTCCCCGCCGGCTACAGCGGATCCGTCCCCGAGCAAAGCACGCAACTCCTCCGCTCCTAAAAGCACTCAGGGCTGCGAGTACGGATAAGGGCGAGGAGGCCACGCGTAAAGGCGCGCATACAACCCCAGCACCGACCGGTCTCACCCGTAACGGCCGCCTGATTGCAGCGCCCGGCCCGGGCCCATCCCCAGAACCGCGCGGTACTCACACATGGCAAGGCGACGGCTCCGCGCTCCGCGGGCACCGCCGCGCTCCAGGCCGGGCCGAGGCCCGTAGCCCCGCACGGCGGGCCGGAACTGGCGCCATCCAGCGGAGACGGAGCCTCCCTCGGGATGGCCGCCCGCGCGGCACTACAGCTCCCGGCAGCCCCCGCTCCTCCGCGCGGGCGGGTTGGTCGGAGCGGCGGCCCGCGTGGATCGCGCTTCCCAGCGGGCGGCGCGGTGCCGAGCCGGGGCGCTCCGGCGGGAGAGGCGCGGTGGGCGTGGTGCGTCCTGCGGGGTGGCTGGTCTCGGCCCGCGGTCGGCGCCTGGCAGCGGCCTGCGCGTCGTGCGGCGCTCCGGCCCCGCGGGTTTGTCCGTCCGCCCGTGTCCGCCTGCCCCTCACTCGCCGGGAAGATGGCTGCCGTACGCCGGGCCCGCAGTTACTCCCGCTGCGTGGTGCGCTTCTCCGACCGAGAACTCTGCTAATTTCCCCCGCGGGGACGACGCGCGGGCCGAGCGGGGGGGACGAAGGGCCCCGGGACGGGACGGCGCCGCCCGAGCGCCGGCAGCATGGTGAGCGGCGGGGACCTGCGGGCGGGGGGAACGGAACGGCCCGGCCCGCCGCCGGCTGCTGCCCTGCCCGCCGCGGGGCCCTCCCGGCTGCGCCGATGGCCGCGCCGCCTGGAGCTGCCCTGCCTTCCCCTCCTGCCCCGCGGTGCCGCCCGGGCTCCTCGCCAGGCGTTTGCCGTTTAGCGTCGCGGCGGTGCTGGGTTCGGTTCCGTCCTGCTGACGGCACCTCCGCGTGAGCTCAGGTGTCTGAGATCGCAGCCTCGAGGGCACCCGGAACCCTTTGGTGTCGTTCAGGTGCTCTTAAAACTCCTTACCGCTGTGTCTGAAACTTACTTCTGAACACAGCGTTGATTTTTACCACGTAGAGAGGAAAAATCGAGTTATGTCCTTGTTCCCTTACAAGCCAGCTAGCCGTCAGACCTGTTTTGCAGTGTCATCTGTGGGATGGACGTGTACAACTGCCGTGCAGCCCTGCTCAGCCGCGGCAGCCAGCCTTGAGCTGATTGTGATTGCAGCTTTACTCTGCTGGAGCAAAGGTCTGAAATACTGAGTTGAAGCGTTGAGTCCTTAGGAAGTGGCTGTAGAGCTCCAAGAAAAGCAGCATGCAATTACTGACTGCAAGAGTTATTACTGACCTGTGCAAATAAGCTGGTCTTGTGTTTTGCAAGTGTTTTCTAAAGCTTTGCAAACAAATTGGAATCGAACAGGCTCGGCTGACTTTTTTTTAGAGGTTGCTGTCTAGCTCAGGCATTCGCTGCTTCCACACTGACCTTTTGGTTGCTTGATTTGCTACCACTTTTCTAATGGAAAAGTCACTTGAGCTGATCAGCATAGGGCGAGGGTGGCTCACCTTTTAAGCAGGATAGAGTTGCTGAGCTGTTAGATGTGACAGCTGACAGGTTGCAGAAGGAAGGCTGGTGGCATAAAGATGAACAGGATGGAATTTTTTAACTAAGCAATAGCTGCAGTACAGTATTCTGTGAACTTCAGAAGCTAGAACTGTAGCTTACTTTTTGCCAGAATAGTCTGAAGGAGATAAGTTTTGCATGCCTTACATATGGTCCCAAGTGTTGCCTGTGTGTGGTGATGTTTGCAGTACCTGAGCATTTATTCATTTGAATTAGCAAAACCATAGGAGTTTTGCAGGTCAAATAAATAGCAGAGAGGTTGTTAGTGGAGACCAGTTAACCATGCAATAACAATGAGGACTAATTGCTTTACTGGTAAGCGTGGGGAGAAATTGTTGCTGCCACTGCTTCCTGCAGACAAACCTATCATATGAGACTTCAGCTCATATATAATTTCAGCATAGAGGAAGTAGCAACAAAAGTCAAATGTTGGTTATAGTGAGCTTTGTAATGCTCAAAGTTGTTACGTTTTGCTCTAGGACTCTTTAGCATGTTGTATTTTTTGTTTGGATTGAGAGCATGCTGAAGTTTGAAAGACCATTTGATAATAATTGGAAGCAGTTGGTGCAGAACTAGGAAAGGTTTTTGACTGCATTGGAGGAGACATGGGTTGGCTGGAGTAGAAACAACAGGAAGGAAAGCAGGACTCCTGAACAGTTACTGAAACTAAGTCTGTAAGTGCTAGGTGGACTTTAGCCAGCTTCAAAACCTAAGTAATCCCAATTCTTACCACAACTTGGATTAAAATTTATGTGCTTTTAATGGGTGCACCTTTATACACAGGAAGATAGCGTGTAGAAATAGCTCTACCAATCTCTGCATTTTGCAGATAAAACCACACCTGCTCTGCCCAGGCTGAGAGCTGACTGGGCGGAACTCAGCTGTATGCCTGAAGCCTTATATCCTCTCTCTGCACAGGCAGAAGTGGGCCCTCCTTGTGTCACCACAGTGCTGCAATAGTGCCCTTACCAGACATTGATTTCAGAGCTAATTTATCCAGCTGCCTCTGTCCAGCATAGATGTAATCCCTGTGTGCTGCATTACTGTTGTGATAGGACAGCTGTAGCTTCTACAGCATGAGCTGCTTGCAGTCAGATTCTAAGTTACTACTTGCTCAGTTGTATCTCTTCTGGTGCTCTGGAACATTGCTGTTTACCTGTTTTCCTCCTCTGAAAAATCTTTGACGTTAGGGTTCGTTTTTGATGGTGGTTTCGCCGCTGATGCTCAGAGCTTGTTTAATTTTAACAAAGCCCTTGTTAGGTTGAAGGTCTTATTTGTTTAGCTTATCTCATAGCAGTATTGTAAATAAAACCAGCTGTCACACTCTCATGCTAGCTTCTTCACTGCTTTTACATTAAGGTGGCTTCTGTATATCACAGAATGGCCTGGGCTGAAAGGGACCATAGAGATCATGAAATTTCAACCCCCTGCTATGTGCAGGGTCGCCAACCACCAGACCAGGCTGCCCAGAGCCACGTCCAGCCTGGCCTTGAATGCCTCCAGGGATGGGGCATCCACAACCTCCTTGGGCAACCTGTTCCAGTGTGTCAACACCCTCTGAGTGATATTTTGTATATAGTGTATTTTTCATATGTAATTTTTTGAGATTGCCCATAGTGTCCCATAATGTTCATAAAGTAGCTGTTTTCTTCTCTAAGAAATAATCTTTTTGTTCTTTCCTGAATACTAAAGAAATCAAAACTATTGGTTACCTTTACACTGAGAAGATTAATCTTTAATTTCTTACATGAATTTCTTACTACTATTTAGTACTGAAGCTTCGATTCTGTGTCTTGAGCCCTCGGTGTTCTTAGCTGGGTATTGTGGCAGTGTGCTGATGTATGTGTGCCTTAACACGATTAGTCTGTATTGGGTTGATATGGCTGAAGTGCAAAACATTTCAGTGAGTTAATAGGGAAGTGCAAACAACACCAGTTGATTTAAGATGAAGTTTAATTATCAGACTGATAAGGTGGACGTGCAGGTGGGGTGGGGGAGGTAAGAGGATGTTTGGTTCTTGTGTGTTGTTTTATGAGTATCCGTAGTGACTGTGCATTATGAAGGTTCAGCTGGGACTTGGCAGCGTGTAATCACACTGGACCATTCTCTACTAGGCAGAAGCTGAAGAAGATTGTAACTCTGATATGGTAAGAACTGATGACAATGAAAGATCTGGTGAAGCAAACCTTCAGGTACGTCTCGCATGCTGGTGTTTTATCACAAACAGCACTGCTGTGATTTAAGCTGTGCTGCTAATGCTTGTTTGGTTACCGTGTATTGACCTGGTGTGCTTAATCTCCCTGCCCCTCCAAAAGGGAAGTAGTTGAATTTTGCATTGTGTACCAAGAGTGTGAGTCAGTTGTAAGTAGTCTGTACAGATGAAACTTTGTGTCAGATTTGGAATTTCTTTGAAGAACAATAGAAATCAGACAGCAATTTTGGTATGGATTTAACTCAGGTTTAATTTGTCTCTTGTTCTAGAGTAGGAAGTTGATAGAAGCAGTCTGATAGAAAAGCACATTTGCTTACGTTACTTGCCTTCTATGTAGTTGTTCTCCAGGAGCCTTAGCAGTTGCAACATTTTAAGTGTAACTTCAAAGATGCTAGAAAAACACGTAGCAAAAATGACTTGTTTTGTTTCACAGAACATAGCATTTCATTTTGAAAAGAGAAAGGAGGTAGGGCCGCAGATGTACTTTATTCCAAATGAATGTCTTGATTTTCCTGAAGTTTAATATGCTTATGTATAAAAATTAGCTAAATTCTACATTTTAATTTAAATTTTTAATTTTAATTCAATTAACTAAATTCTACCTTAATTTAATTTTAATTTAATTTAAAAATTTAATTTAATTTCTTCTGCCATGAACAGTCCAGATAAAGGCATTTGTTATTGAATTACATTGAACAAATACATGTGCTTAAAACGAAAAAGTCTACAAAACAATGGCTAATTCTTCATGTCTAAATGGATGTTAGGACTTGTAAGTATAAAGCATAATTTTGAAATTCTCTTTTGGGTTAGTGTTATATCATCTCTGATTGGAAGATCTTCTGTCTGAATATGTGGTACTAAATCAGAATGTAATGGATTCTTTTAGGCAGAGCTGCAGATGTTCAGAGCTCAGTGGATGTTTGAGCTTGCCCCAGGTGTGAGTTCTAGTGGGTTGGAACCTCTGCCATGCAGAACGTCGTCAAGAGGACCTGGAGTAAAGTCTGTAGATACCAGAGGGAAACAGGAGATAGCAAAAGAGGAAAAGGTACAAGAAACACATGTTTTCTGGACCAGTGTCGTGTTGCATTTTCTCCTTATTTTGTCAATTATATTTCAATAATCGTCTTTATTTCCTAAGATGAGGTTTAGCATAGACTATTTTTGGCTTCTTTCCATCTCCTCAGTTCCTTTTGGGAGTGGATAGCTATCTGTTTTTGCAAAGCTACGAAGCTTTGCGAGGCATTGTCTTAGTTGCAAGTCAAACCCCTGTGTTAAGGGAGTCGAACTACTGAGCAGAATATAACCTTTCAGACAGTGAGTCATAATGGGAGTACTGTGATCCTGTTAGAATTAGAGTTCTGTTAATTTTGTATGCTTGTACGTACCTCCAGCACCCTTCTGTGATCTGGGTTAGTGGTGCTTTTTAACTCTTTTATAACCTGTCTGGATCTTTTTCTTCTTTTAAAAAATGACATGGAGAGATTGTTGTTTGGGAATTTGTTTCCACTTGAATATGTCTTGACATTTTGTTGATAGAGGTATTTCATTCTTCTCATTTGTAGAATACAGTACATAAGATGAAAACAATTCTCAGTCAAAAGAAGTTGCACTTGTATTTGTAATGAACTTAAGAACTGTTCTGTGTAATTGTGCAGGCAAAAGAACTTTTCCTGAAAGCAGTGGAAGAAGAGCAAAATGGGGCCCTTTATGAAGGTAATGCAGAAGTCTACAGTGAATGCTCTTACTGCAGAATAACAGACTAACTTCTGTGCAAAACTGTATGCTAATAGTGATCTTAAACTGATGGCTAATTGTAATTTGAGAGTTCAATTATTTGGATAAGTGAAAAAACAAGGTATGAAAGGAATCATTATATCACAGATCTACGGTTGAGGTGAAGCTAAAGGGTGTTCAAGGAAAGGATTTCTAGCTCTCAGACAAAAGGTGAGAGTATTTTGAAATGTAACAGCATTGCACTGAATTTAACACACTCTTTCTCATTTGAATTTTATTCGTGACCTCAAAAACCAAAACTTCCTCATACACCCTTATGAGACCTTAGTAACAAGGCCCTGTGCTAGACACAGATATCTATCTGTGTGTGTTGGGACATCTGTTCCCAGACCACGCTTCTATTTGCTGACCTGGCCCGGTTCACCAGAACCCAGTGACATTTTAAGCCTGCTTCTGAAATGTGCTGATAGCTGACATTTGTCAAGCAGTCATGTGAAGCAGCTTCTTCCATGTTCAAGTGCATTGCAGGCCTGGCTGTGAGATCAGATGTTGAAGTTGAGACGGATCTGTTCAGCTGAGGCTGCTGGTGTTCCTCATCTTCACCAAAGGCTACTACTTGTCAGTCAGCAGCACTGATGTGTGCTCAAGGAAATAAGAATGCTGATTAGCCCCAAACTCAGGCTTCTGAGATTCATTAGTGCAACCAAAGTCACTGTTAGTCAGGTATTGAGAGGGAGAATAGCCATCTTGCCACAGATTGGGAATCATCACGTGGGAATATAGAAAGACATGTAAATACACGCCTAATCTTAATACCAGTGTTCTTCCTTTGCCTATTCCTCTAATCAATATTTATAACATCTTTGGAGTGCTAAAGGGTGACATCCTTTGTCTGAGTGCTGGATGAAGTCCCACCTGTCAGTTTTCCTCTAGCATGCCATAAGTTTTGTTAGCTGCATAACTTTTTGAACTGGCTGCTTTCCCCAAGTCAGGTTCCTCATTCTCAGTGTTCTGAGTGGCTTGCTCCTGTGCCTGCTCTAGTTTCCATGGTTGTACCACAGCAATGTTTGGTTTGTATCTGTTGTAGTTTTTTAAACGTGCGACCATTTTTTGGCTTTTTTATGTTGTAGTGTTTTGTAGAGCTGAAGTGCCTGCAGTGTAATGGATATGTAACATGCTTGCATCTTCTTTTGTATTCTTTTTTCACATTCCTTTTGGTTATTTAAGACAGTAATGTCTAAAATCTCTTTGGCTTCTTGGAAAAATCTGTGCAACAAATGCAATCAAGACTTGGTAGCATTTTGCTGTAAAATTTTGTATACTCCAGAACGGATTTATTTTTTTTTAGCAGTTAAGGTAAATTTGTGAAAGCTGAAACATGTGAGACCTTTGTTCTGAAAAAGTATATGAAGCTTTTTGTTTCGACAGTGTTTGATTTGTTTCTCTTCTGCACTGAATTTCAACCCAGTCAGTTGAGGCTTACGCAAAGGAGTTTCCCACTTTTTTTTTTTTTTTTTTAGCACTTCTGGTTGAAGTAATCCCTGATAAAATCTTTGCTTTGATAAGCTGGTGTAGGCATCAGACTTGTTTAAATGCTACAGTTTTTGTTTTCAGCCATCAAGTTTTATCGCCTAGCCATGCAGCTTGTCCCTGACATCGAGTTTAAGATCGCCTATACGCGGTCCCCAGATGGTGATGGAGTTGGAAAGCGGTGGTAAGTATGAAAATTTACTGACTGACTACAGGGGTATTGAGAGCTGAAAAAAACAGTTCACAGTCTGCCTTATAGCTACTGGGACTCTGTGACTGAGTCTTCAAAATAAAGGTGGGTTTCAATTTGATATCTTGTCATGGATTTAGTTAAAACAGGCCCAAACGTAATTTCTTCCCCTATACATTTTAAAACTCATTGCTATGTCTCCTTGTTACTGGTGGGGCTTTATATTCTCAGCTCATTCTATTAAGTTTGCTTAGTGTAAATATTTAAAAAGTGGCTGGAAGATCATTGAGCAAGTCTGTGTCCCAAGACAGGGAAAGGAAGGTAATTCTTTAAATGAAATTAAGGAGAATTTTATAGTTTGTGGTTACTTGGTGCAGGCAAACTTGCTTATTTTGAAGGATTATGCTGTGATACACAACTTACATTTATGTATGTATATTATGTATGTATATATATATATATATATATATTTGATATACATATATTTGAATGTAGTAATGTTATCTTTGTAATCCTCCAAGTTTACTGATATGTAGTGAGCATAATTTTTCTATCCTGGCCTTCTTTAGCTTGCTCCTGAAGTATTTTAAATCTAAGTTGGTAAAAAGTAGTTTTCCCAAAAGAAATTTTTCCTTATTGAAAAGGATGGGAAACACCACTAGGGGTCACTCTTCGGTGAATAAAGCAGAAGTAGAAAGAAGTAAATAATCCTTCCTTGTCTGTTGTAGTTCACAGCGTGAGAGCCATTAGTGAATATTACATTCCTTCAGTGATAATTTATTTCCTGCTTATGGTAGGCAAATTAAGGAATAGGATTTGTCTTTCTGTGGGATCAAGCAATCCTTCAGTTACTTGTCTTAAAAGAGGGAACTGTGAACTCTCAAATCTGAAGAGAGTCTGGAATTGAAATTAAAGGGGAAAAAAGAGGCTGTTACTATCATGGAAAAAAAAATCATGAAGGTTGAAAAAAATCCCTAAGATGAAGTCCAACCATCAACCCAACAGCATCATGGACACTCTCAGAGAGGTTCCAGCAAAATCTAAATGAACTTGAAAGCATTGCTGTAACTGTTCTATTGTATGATAAAATGAGATTGCTTTAATACTGAAGACAGAAGATCGATGCGGAGGTGAGGACATTTGTTGTTATGTTCTATTCAATATCATAGTGTTGGTGTTCCCCTTTTCTAGTGTTGAGGACAATGAAGAGGATGGCAAAATGGCTGATCTCCTGTCAGATTTCCAGCAACAGTTAACTCTTCAGGAATCTTCTGTCAAACTTTGTCAGCCTGAGCTTGATGTCAACCAAACCCATATCTCAGGTATGAGTTAAGATGGACTGTAAATGTTCAGAGGAAGAAGTTCTAGAGATGTTTCACTGACTTTTTGCAAAACAGTTATCTATTTCATTCTGAAGCTTCTTTTAAATAAGTGAACACAGTATCTCTTACCTTTATAGTTAGATGCAAAGCCACGCATGGCAAACTTGTCTTAATCCCACAACTTTTATATGTAGAGCTTCTAGTACAGTTTTTCAGGATTAAGAGAATGCTGCTTAAAATAGTAACTTCCAGAAGCAAACTTACTTCAGTAAGTTTTTTCTACTTGGACATACTGAATTGGTTTGTTGTGGATTTTCTTTGTTCATCTGTTTTAGTTTGCATCTATTTATTCTAATTGTAAGGTGTGAGAAGAAGGAGGCAGTTATTTTGTGAAGAGATACGTTTGTGTGTTTTGTGCTTTTATCTGTCTCTGTATCAGATTCTTTACAGCAAATGCTTTCAGGTTCAACTAAACCACATAACAGTTAGAAAGGCTTTTGAAGGTTAATGATTTTCAGTGCTTCAACTGCAGAATAGTCACCCCTTCCTTAGGCTTGCATAGGAGTTACAAATTGTAGAAAGTGTGTATAGGTTATGAACTCTCTTAAAATCAGATGCCTCCAAAACATATGCATTTTGTACAGTTATCAGTTGCTCTTGGAAATCTGTTCTGCTTAAGGAAAAAATAAATATAACAATCTGTTTAAGTCAAAACATATAATGGAATTTCTAAAAAGTGTGGCACTGTATGCTTGGGAAAACAGTTGTGGGATTTTTTTTTTGCAAGTAAAGTCAAGGTATTGTAGATCATTACTATAAAATGATCTCAGGACATGTCATTTTTTAACATTGATCTTAATTCTTTCTAGTTTTATTGTTTCCTTTCCTGGCAGTCCTGTGTCGCATTATCTCCCTTGTCTATGTTTTGTGGTACAGTGAAAACTGTTACAACAGTGATACCTGCTGCAGAAGTTAGTAGGCTGGAGAGGATCCCTGTTAATCATCACAGTAGTATAGTAGTCACATTTTTCTTAAGGGACTTAAGGGAAAATCAAAACATGGAGCAATGTGTTTAAAGCAACCAGTTCCCATTCTTCTGTTATATTTTGCATTTTATTAGCACTCATCATCTTATAATACCGATTCACTTTAGTATAGGACAGGATTAGTCCACTGCCATATAACAGAAATGGTGAAGGAAAGTGTAAATTCATTCACGGGGGAGTGACTTTCCATTGTATGTTGGGTTTTTTTTGTTGTTACATGGCTAAAGGTTAGGACTCAACCATTCTTCACCAGAAATATTTTCCTACAGGGCGTGCCCAGTATTTGAAACTGGGTCTTAACAATCCCTAGTTCACTAGAAACGTGGAAATGTTGGTGATAAGAGATAATCAAAGGCTTTGACTGGTGAATGGAAAATGTATACTTGTTAGTGCTGCTAATACTAAGAATGTTCAGCCTTTGTATCTCCATTATCTACTGAAGAGCTCAAATGGCCAGAAGCTGTTTTGTCCCTTGAAGTAACATCTACATCTGTACAACTTTTGTTTATAAGCGGACTGTGAATTTAATCATCACAAATACTGCAAATTTGTGAGTACTCTGTAGTGAAACATATGATTAATTCAGATTCATAAAACAAATAAATTCACTAAACCACAGACTCTACCCTGGTATTTACAGCTGGTTACTGTTTAACGTACCTTTGTGCTTCAGTTCTTTTCTTCATTTGATCTCAAAGCTGTTATACTGAGTAAAGTCATTGAATGGATGTGGTATTACAGGTCAAGCCACAGGCACCAGAAAGCAGCAGTTGTTGAAAGTAAGTGAAGTGTAATTCCTGATGATAGAAGATTACACACAAGATTATATACAGGCAAGACAGAGAAAACTCAGGGAGGCAGCAAGTTATGAGAGAGAATTTTAGCTTCATTTCCTGGGGCATTCTTACTGAATTTCTAATTCTAGGAAAAGTATTGTATGATCTTTTAAAGCTTTGATGGTGATTCTGTCATTGTATTACATTTCTAAAAGTTTTTAAACAGAGCAATAACATTTTTGATCACTGGACCTGTACCACAAAATATAGAGTGGTGTAATTCAGGTTTCACAGTGGATAGGTTGTTCTTAGGATCTTCTATCCAATGCTAAACCTGATCTGAGCCTGTCATACAGAAGTATAGTGTGTACTGTAATGTTATACATTATGTCAGTTTGAAGAAAGCGCAGATTTATGGATGCTGTGTTTGTGCAATGTGTATGTGGACTGTTTGGTATCACACCTTAGAGTTGTAGCATTAGACAACGGGTATGTTTTATCCTATTGTTTTACTATAATTCACTTAACTCTTGATTTATTTTTTTTTCATTCTCTTTGTTACTTTTTTGCATAGTAATTTCCTTGTTAAAGATATTTTTGATAGCTTCCTTGGCATATGGCTAGCATGTGGAAATGTATTTTTTTGTGGAAAGTCAAAACATCAGTTACTGAATTATAGATAAACTATTGATTTGCACAGCAGCATTTAACAAGAAATTCTGTTCTATTTGCAGCGTTGCCTCTGGAGGTGCTAATGTACATTTTCCGATGGGTGGTTTCGAGTGACTTGGACCTGAGATCATTAGAGCAATTATCTCTTGTTTGTCGAGGATTTTACATTTGTGCCAGGTATTGTAAATAAGTTACTAAAGTGAAGCTTCTCTGTGTTCTAGGAAAGATAAGAACTTCATTTTTTGTTTTTGTTTTTTTTTATGCACAAGACTTTGTAGACTTTATGTGCAGGTAGATGTTAAATCCATATAACAAAACTTTCTATATAGGAAAAGTTGGTTTGTTGGTTTTTTTTTGGTTTTGCATTTAGGCCTCTAATATGTAGGACCATGTTACGCTTTTTCTTCCCGAGGAGAGTCCTATATTATGTTCCCCACAGAGCTCACCAACTTTAGAGTATGTCAGTAGTAAGTATCTCACATGGCTACTCTGAAAATAATGCCTCTTATGTCATGGGCCAGCACAACATCCAAAATAAGAAGCAGATGTTGATAGTATGGCAATAGAAGGTGAACCTTCCTGCCAGTATCCTCTTCCATTTTGTTGCCATGTGACAGATGGCAGCAGAGGGGCAGTCTGACAAAACAGTGTCTGACATGGAAGTGCCTGTAAAGCAAAGGTGCGTCATAGAATTCCTCCATGAGGAAAAAATGGCACCCGTTGACATTCATCAGCACTTGCTGAACATTTGTGGAGATCAAACAGTGGATGTGAGTGCAGTGAAGGTGTGAGTGGTGTGTCTCAGCATTGATGACAGTGACATGAAAGACAAGCCACATTCTGGATGGCCATGAAGATATTTACTAGTGTGACCTGCAGGCTTGCAAGCTCTTGTTTGTCACTGGCAAAAATGCATACCTAATAGTGATGACTGCATGGAAAAAAAGTCTTGTAGTTGAGAATTTCCTCTATCAAATAGTGTTTTTGTGCTCTGCTGCAGTTTCCATGGAAATAAATAAAAGGCCTTATATTCAGAAGAACCTAAGTACTTCACTGTTGTAAAAGTTGCTAAAAGTCTTATTTATTCTGCCTTATTGGAAAAAGTTGCAGAATCTCCAAAACAGTGCTTCTTGCGTTGTCATCCTCATCTTGCTGCACAGAGAAATGCCAGGCTGTTCAAGTGTTGTTGTGTACTTGGCTGAAAATCACATTGTGTTCTTGGGTTTTCCAGGGAGGAGGAAATGGCTTTCAAGTGCTCAAGGATTCAGGCAATTAATTATTCCAAGTTATGCTACAGTATGAGCAACAGGAGCTCAGGAGTTTCTTTAAATTGCATTCAAACAAATACTGGAGTTTGTTGCTCTGATACGTAAAAGATAAGGTTTGCAGGAAAGTTTTGACTTTTGCTTTTTTCCCCTCATTTTTTTTTCCAGAGATCCTGAAATCTGGCATCAAGTCTGTCTGAAAGTATGGGGCAGGAGCTGCAATAAACTTGTTCCATATTCTTCCTGGAGGGAAATGTTTTTGGAAAGGCCTCGTGTTCGATTTGATGGTGAGGTTTACTTCTGGAAACATTGCATGTAACTGTGACAGAGCAATCAGATGGGTTTTGTGTTTATGATGTTGTTAGAAGTTTTCTGAATTTATTGAGGCTGTCTGGATGTGATCCTGGGCAACCTGCTGTAGGTGTTGCTACTTGAACATGGGATTTGGGCCAGTGACCTCCAGAGGTCTCTGCCAACCTCAGCCATTCTATGATTCTGAATTGAGCTTTTGAATCTGTAGCCTATCTGTAAAGACAAGAGGGGAGGTCTAGGGGACCAAAATAAAAACTTTGGTGTATTTAAGTTACTAAAACTCAAAAGTTATGGATTATCAGTTTTTTATCTTATTTTATGTACTTCATTTTTGTTCATATACTTATTTCCTTCATTTCTATAGGTGTATATATCAGCAAGACAACATACATACGCCAAGGAGAACAATCTCTTGATGGTTTCTATAGAGCGTGGCACCAAGTAGAATATTACAGGTAGAACTGTAGTACAATGAGTGAGTGAAATGTTTCTCTCTCTTAAGTTCTTGAAATCCAGCCCTGGATATGGCAAACATTAACCAGTCTGTAAATCGTGGTGGAAAATTACTCTGTGTAAAGTTAAATGTAAATATTTTGAGAATAGGTCTTAAGAAAGGAGGATTTATTGCAATTTAGAAACATATTTCATCTTCAGTTATACTGTTTCTTGTGAATAAGAGTTAAGCAATAATATTGCTATCAATCATACACAGATTTCTTCCCCGAGGTTTTTTGCTTTAAATTTCTGAAATAACAATACTTTTTAGGAAAGGGAAAACAAATGATTATACATCATTTTTAATCAGTTGTAAGTAATCAAGAGGCTGGGCTTTCTCAGTGTTTTCTAATACCTTGCCATTTGTTCCTCTGGCTGTTTTTCTGTTGTCCTTCATCCTGCTTTTCACCAGGTTTTTGTGTTGTTCTGCTGTCCCTGCTGAGGCTGGAAATGTTAATAGAAATTGTTGAATCTCTTGGCTGTTTATAGTGTCACACAAACACTGAGGTGGTATCTGAGTAGTGTAAAAGTTGATCAAATCCTGGAACCTGAAAAAGACCATATGACATTGTCCATTCAGTACTAACATTGTAATTGAGAGTTTACCGTGTTTGTCTTAAAGCATGCTGGGGGAGAAACTTACCTGAGGTCAGGTTGATTCAGGGTAGCCTGTTTGCTTTGTTGAGAAGTGGCAGAATTTGTCTTCCTGCATAATTCTTCATTCCTTGATCTTTTAACCTTCAAAGCTGTATTTTTTCCAATCTCTTCTGCTGTACTGTATGAAGAAATAAGCTTTCAAATCCTATTTCCTATAAAGTTTCATATTCCTCTGTGATTTAAAATAAACGTATGTTTATATTGTGTGATTTTATTTTCTCAGGTATTTGAGATTCTTTCCAGATGGCCAAGTTATGATGCTTACGACGCCTGAAGATCCGCAATCTATTGTTCCTCGCTTACGGACTAAGAATACAAGGTTAGTGAAATAGAATACTGATTTGTACTTTCCTCTTTGCTTTTTACCTGGCAATTTCTGTTTGCTTTTTTCTCTAATTCTGTATTTGTGCTTAGCAAAATGAGGATAAAACTGTAACGATGTTCTTGTTGTATGGGAGCAACTGAGAACTGCAAGAAGTTTTGATCTTCATGCCAAGATATCTTTCATTTTGAACTCCTGGTATTGTGTTTAGATTTCCTTTCAGACTATTTGATTTTAAACTTAGAAAGGAAGTAGACGGAAGAGTACTGAAATCACCAATCTAACAACATACCTTCTTTTGAAGATACTATTTAGTTATCACTTGCTTTCTTGCACTTCCCTGACTGTATGGAGGAAAGGAAAGGCTCTGGTGGGATTTGACTGAACTATTGCTCAATTTCTTGTTGATGTTTGCATGAATTTTTAAAAAATACAGATAGTTGTTTGGGACTTCAGAACAGGCTTGAGCTGTTCACCAGAAATCTGAAAATATTTAACAGTACACAAGACGGAACAGTAAAGATCAGTTAGTCAGTTCTAAGTATGAAAATTTAAAAGCATTTTTCCAGAATGTTTTCATCATTTCCTAACATCAGTGAGCTCGGTATTTATTGAATGCAAATAATGATATGTTTCTTTGATTATGATATACATTCTTCTTTCTGATATTTGTGTTATAAGTTGAAGGCATTTGGGCAGCAAACATCTTTGTCCTTGATACTATCTTCCTCTTAACCTTCCAGAATGGATGCAATCTTGCTTGGTCATTATCGCCTTTCCCAGGAAACGGACAATCAAACCAAAGTATTTGCTGTAATAATGAAGAAAAAAGAAGAGGTAGGTTCCTAAACAGATTAAAGAAAAAATAATTTGAGAGGGCTTTTTAGTAAGGTTTTTCTCAATCTGAATATTTTAAGACACCTGAAGTATTTTAAGGCACCATTACAAATGCAAAAAAGGGTTGAAAAATAGATTTCATGTTGAAAATGTTTTAAAAATAAAGACGACTAACTGTGGAGATTCATCCTGCCTTTTTAGATCTGTAGTAATTGTTATTGAGACAGATAAAGACTTGGTTCACATTCAGCAGTGGTTCTTCCCCCTTAGGCTTAGTTACTGCTGGTGTTTCTGTTAGGTAGCTTTAACAAACAGGAAGGAAGGGTGGAAGATGTCGCTTTCTGAAATCAATTTTTGACTGTGTTTATATTCCATATCTTTAAACAGAACTAAATTAGTTAGAAGTGTTACCATACTTTACAATGAGTTTGTGTAATTGGGTGACGTCCTCCATCCTTACCTTTCTGTGAAAACTTCTTCTATAATCAGCATCTAAATTGATGCATTTTCAAGGAAAACCAGCACCTACTTTTGAGGGTTTAACAGTCTGGTATCATACTTATTTAGTCCCAATGATAAATAGTTGCACCTTGTGTTCTTTCTGCATCACAAATCTCTTTTTCTTTGCACAGAAACCTGTTGACTACCACAAATACAGATATTTCCGTCGTGTTCCAGTACAAGAGACAGAGCATAGTTTTCATGTAGGACTTCAGTTGTGCTCCAGTGGACGCCAGACATTCAACAAACTTGTTTGGATACATCATTCTTGTCACATAACTTACAAGTAAGTAAATGCAGAATAAGTCCAAGGAGGGATACTTAATTGTAGAAATTAATGTGACTGGAATTTGATGAGGCTTTAATAAAATGTTCTGGGAAGAGTAACTGGTCTTGAATTGATAAACAATACTGAACTTTACTTGAAGAAATCCCAAGATTTTGGTAACTTTTTTTCTAATGGTATGGGAAGTATACCAAGTAGTGGAACTGCCGTAGTTTAGTCATTTAAAGGATTTGTGCAGTGTTGGAAAGATGTCAGGTTTGAGTCAGGGTTGAGTGACTTCAGTATGATGTCAGTAAAAAAGGTGTAGAAAACAAATATTTATTAAGATCTTCTTTTCCTTCGTGAATGTGTAGAAATGCTTTAGAAGATACCATTATGAGAGTCTCTGCACATGGGTGATACAGAGTCTTGTTCAAATTCTGCTTTACCTGTTAGTGTGTTGGTGTCCTTTTAAAACTGGAATGAAGATGAGTATGAAACAAAGCTAGGAGGACATGTACTTCCTGTTACTAGTGTTCAGAAATAGTTGTGGGTTTTTGTGGTTGGTTGTTCTTCTGTTGTAAACATACAAAGTGAGAGCAAAAACTTGGCTGTATTTTGAATTCATGGTTCTAACTGAAACGAAAGCGGATGTTTTACTTCAAGATACAGTGGCCTCAGTGATATCCTGCACTATGTCAAGTTTCAGAGCAAGTAATAAAAGCAGAAAGAAGAAGGTGATTTCCTTGTTATTAAAGTTTGCTTGCATAGAAGAGTGTTCTGTGTGGTGTGGTCTAGTCAACATTAGTTTGGTTTCAGAATGAGATGGTGTGCAAGATGCTTACATTCCAATTGCAGTTTGCTGCACACGCTGTACTGTGGATCATGACTGAATAACAGATTTAAGTAGCAACTGCTGTCTAATTTAACTTTTACTGTGCTCTTTGCAGGTCGACCGGTGAGACAGCAGTTACTACTTTTGACATTGACAAAATGTACACCCCTTTGTTCTTTGCACGAGTGAAGAGTTACACTGCATTTTCAGAAAAGCCGCTCTAAGAAACACCTTGTCCTCTCACAGATCATGCATGAATAAAAGGTTGTAGCCAACCAGCACTTAAGATATAAATGTGTATATATTTGGAGCATTTTAAAATTCCAGGGTTGTTTTTTTTTTGAGGGCGTTATTGTTCTCCTTGGTTCTGACTAGCTGGGGTTTTGTTCTGAGATAAAGCTTCTCAGTGTTAAACACCTTTACTTTGTGACAAGAATTTGGTAACAAAGTTTTTATTTTTTTTAAACAGATTTTATAAATCAGTCTGCTTAAAATGTGAGTCTTCATCTCCCTGGACATTGGTTTGTTCAAAAAGAATTGCCATAGGAAATTCTCATTGTCCATGGGACAGTGTTTGTGGTCTTGGGTGAAGGCTTGAAACATGAATGGAAGAAAGTTGTTCTTATATTTGTTAAACTGTGTGACTTAAAATAATTTCAAATAAACATTCTCTTCAAATTAAATTGATTTTGTTTGCCTTCAAGATCTGGCTTTATATCAACATCAACCTTAAGAATAAACAATCAAGGGCAGGCAGTCATGAAGCATCGCATTTAAATGCAGAGGTACATCCCTGACAATGCAGGGATGCCAGTTGATGATAAAAGTAATTTGATCTTGATACGAGTTGGTAGAGCCTGCCTTCTCAATAAGTGGGCATAAAAAGGAGAGGGATGTGGGCAGTGAGTAGTAGGATGAGTTGGCAGGGTACGTGGCTCTGCTTGGGGATTGTCACAGAGCAATGGTGAAATGCTTGTGTGTGCTGCTTGTGCATTGGCAGGGTCTGATTGCACAAGCAGGCAGAGCTCGCTTGAACGTGTTTCTAATGTGTAATAATCCTTCATCTAACCTTGCTACAGATGCTGTAAATCCTTTGAGCATTTGTTGTACTAAGATAAACTTTGAGGCTGCTGTAGATGTTCAGGTGCTGTGTACTGCTAATCATGAAGTGTACCTTGAGATTTGGCGCAGGTACTGTATGCTGCTTCTCCTGCATATATTGCTTGGGGGTGTAGTGCAGACACTGTTATACTGCTTATTATCATATGTGTCTTGGATTCTGAAAGAATTGAAGCTTTTTAGTGTAGTTTTTTTTAAGCCATCCTGCATAATTTACCTTTGAACATCTCATTTCAAAGTACTAACCTGGACTCAGACTAATGTGTGAAAGAACTGTGGGAAGAACTATACTTGTTCCATAATTTATAAAGTGTATCTTTGCAAGGAGTTACACAATTAAAATACATCAATAAAACATGATTTTGAACACACAGTCCCTTGAAATTTCTTATTTTGTCAAGAAGTCATTATTTTCATATAGTAAATGATTAGTTAGGAGTTACCATGCGTAAATTACTTGCAGAGGTGCTGTCAGATACTTGAGTTCTGGATAAAGGGTGCTTATAACTAAAACTTTTTTCTTTTTCTAGCTTGTCTAGTAAGACTTTGCCTACAACCCTTGTTCAGCTCATGCCCTTGGGCTATAAGGCTGCAGTTGCACTATTACTTCATACAACAGAACAATTAATTTAGTGTATTATATTCTCATTGTTGAATTGATGTTTGCTTAGAATGTCAGCCTTGTGTTTTGAAGATAAGTAACAAAATATTGATGACAAGTTTGTGATCAGGAAGAGATGCTAGTTCCACTTTTACTGATGATGATAAAGGTCAGATTCTTCCTGCTGAGAAATGTCAAAAACTTTTCTGTTAAGAACCATAAATGGTACTGATTATTAATCAGTAATCAAATTCAATGTAATTGAGCTGTCCTTTCAGTTCAAAGCCCTTTCTATACCAAGACTTCTGAGCTTCTGGTGTTGTTGTTGTTGGGTTTTGTTGTTGTTGTTGTTGTTGTTGTTTTTCTTTTCCTACCTTGGCCATAACTTTGAAATACACTATTATCACCTACTTCTTTGCTGAAACTAGTACTATTTTAATAGTGGCACATGAACAGACAGTAGTAGCGCCTGCTGACAGGAAACCAGGCACAAAAGAAAAACTGCCTGGTAACCTGCTGTAAGTTGAGATTGTTATAAATTGAGGTGTAGATTTAACGAAGGCATCAGGCAATGATTAAGGTTATGTGAAATACTTATTCTCCAAGAAAGTTATGTGAGTCTCCTGTTGAGACCTAGCTATGACTAATATGCTGCTGCTTTTATGTTTAGCAATATGACAAAGTCAAGCTATTTTGTCTCTTGAAATGGTTTCCTGTCAGCAGGCGCTACTACTGTCTGTTCATGTGCCACTATTAAAATAGTACTAGTTTCAGCAAAGAAGTAAGTGAGAACTTATTATTTCTTCATTCCATGTAGGAATTTTTAATAGTCAAAGGCTTTGGCAAAGTCAGTAGTCAAAGGCAAAGCTAGTGGTGCTGTCTTTATAACTGACTTTTATTGTCCTTTTATTTACTACAGAAAGAAACTGGTTGGTATAACTGGTTTACTGCTGGCAAGTTGTCCTTAGCTATTTATACTCATAATTACTTAAAAGAATCAGGTGTGTGCATATATATACTTATGCAATCCTTTTTCCCAAGAGGTTTTTTTTCATTGCTGTTGTTGGAACATGTTGACTTAAAGCCCTCCTTCCATTTATAAGAGGAGAGAAGATGCTCAGGTGACCAAATGTTATGCTAATTTGACTCGGTCTAATCAGAGATAACACACATGGTCAACAGGTGCTAACATTGGCCTGTAAATGGAGAGAACTAGAGACTGACTCTGCTCAAAGCAAATGACAGCTGTAGACATTTCCAGATGCTCAGCTCCTGATCTTCTCAGTAGGCTTGAGCCAACCCAGGCAGAATTTCATAGGCATATGAGGTTTTTCTTTAAAGGAAGGAAATAATGTAAAGGCTTAAGTACATCTTCAGAACAGTCTGGATTGCAGAAATGCACTTTTGCACGTATTACTTTGGTTTTCCCCCATTACAAATACTAAAGCTTCCATCTGATAATCATTCAGTCTAGAGTCAAGCTCTGTACTTTATGCGATGATGAGAAGGAAGCTTTCTTGGTGACATGACTTGTGTAATGGTTTGCTTGAAAGAAACAAATTAAAACACATTGCCCTACATCTATTTTTTTTTCCCCAGAGTATCTCCTGAGTCCTTAAAATAGTGTTTAAAACCACAAGGCCTTGATGGTGTTGGATTTGGAAAAGAAGCTAGATTCCGTTACTGAATGGAAACTTTGGAGATGCATAAAATGGCACTTTCCCTTACCTGAAACATATCTGAGCTCTGGGGATGTATCCCACTTGAAGGGGTCCAGGTGCTGCTGTGTGACCATTGTTCAAGGCAGTAAAAAGCAGACTGAAATTACAGTTGTTTTTGTGAAACACGCACCCTGGTGTATAGGTAGACAAAAGACATGAGATGCAACTTAGATAATGTTTCTACGTAACTCAGGACGGACAGCCTTCCTGCTGCATGCATTCTGGTGTTTTCTGACTGTGCAGCACATCTGCTGACGTAGCGTTAGAATGTTCTGTGAGGAGTAGCTGGGTAAGTTGCAGCACTAAGAGAATTAAGACTTGTCAATGCCATCAAATTAAATCACTCCTCAGTGTGGAAAGCCAAGATAAGTAGACATTTCTTCACATGTTCTTCTTCTGTATGAATGAAAATTCTGCCTGATTCTGTTTGTTTTTGCAAAGGAATTTTATTGTTTTGGTTTTGTGTTTGGTTTTGTTTTTTATTGTTGTTGTTTTCTTGCCCCCAGAGCAGTGATACTCTGCGGGTTGTTGAAGCTTAGTAAGCAAGATAAGCTTTGGGATGCAGCTTTCTAATCTGTATTTACTACTACACGTGCAGGAGAATGATGCTGTTTTGCCATTAGGTGGCATACCACAGTCGAGAGTTTCCATTTGTGCTGAATAATATTTATATTTATTTTCCCTTATAGCTTTCTCAGAAGTCGAGAGCATTTCAGGGAAAAGAAAACAAAAAATGCATCAAGCTGTAGGTTTAGACCACTGGGCATTCAACTCCTTAAGTTCCTGCCAGGCAGGTGCCCATGATAAAACAATGGAATGGGAAACAGGAAAGCTTGCTCTTCAATGGGCTTCTTCTAAGTGTCTGAATCTGAGTGGAATTTTAAGGCCCAAGTTTGCTTCCCAGCGACCGGGAGAACAGCTTCCAAATGAGATCCAAGGCAGCTAGCATGCTAAATGGGAACACCCTGATGCAATGAAAGATGGAGTGCTGTAGAGAAATGCAGTTTCAACACAGCCACTGGAAGAGCATATACTTCCAAAGCAGGGATCATAGTCTCCATCCCTTTGTGCTCTGTGTCTGTTCAGAGCCCCACTTTCCTAGCTGGGGACCTTGACTCCTTAGCTCAGTCAGACATGCTTTTAGATGAGGGGTTGGTCATTCTGCCCCAAGGCGTGCGTAACAAACCTGCGTGTTGTAGAACAGCTCTTACAAGGAAGGTGGAATGTCCCCACAGAAACACTATAAAACGGTCATGCACGGGCCAGGATGTTGGACTAAATGATCTTAGAGGTCTTTTCCAACTTTAATGATCATACATGAACGGAACAGGAGAGAGCTGATCCCATGAAACGCATGCAGGAGTGTGTATACCCTCAGCACAGCACCTCCCCCCTTCATGGGGTGAGACTTTAGGCTTCACCACCTTCTCTGTTCAGAAGCAAAAGGCACCAATCCTGTCTCACGTTTTTAAAGATGATGCTGTGGGCTGTCTCACTGCCAGAGGAATGCAGGAAGCTCCTTCCTCTGTTGTTAACAAACCAGGTTTACTTGGTTATTAATGTATGTTTACAGAGGTGCTAGCATCTCTGATACAGCTAGCAGTTGCAGTTTTTAAAAAACAAACACAAAATACTGGACCTCGTTCTCATCTTTTCCCTAAAATCCAGTATCCTTACCTCCTAACTAACTTCAACTGTGATCACACAAATAGACTGGTTTCAAAGAACAGGGAGCAGACAGCTTGGGAGTGGTGAGATTCAGGGCCTCACTGTACAGGGAAAGGCCCAAATCTCAGCATAATATGAGGGAAATTTGAGAAACAGATATGCAAGTAGTGATCAGTTACTGTTTTCATATGCTGGGTTTTAGGTTATTTTCTTATCTGACCTATGCTAGTGGCTATGATAACTTCTAGGGCAGCAGCGTCAGAGATCAAACTACAGACAGAACTTAATCTCTTTAGCACTGTGTTGTGCTGTGCAGGCTGAATGCTCAGTCCTGGGCTGCCTGCTGTCTGCAGCAGTGCCTGCAGAGCTGCCTCTGCATCTCTGGGGGCTGATGACCTGTGCTCGCTAAGTAATGTGCAGGAGGGTCTGACTGCACCGGGAGATACTTAGTGAAAACTGTATTGAAGCAGAATGTAAATGATTGTTTTCCCAGCAAAGCCGAATCATTCCTTGTATGGGTTAGTATAGGGATGGGTATCATTGGTCTGATTGTTCCTCAAATGCTTTTCCATTTTTTCTCAGCAGTATGTAATGTGGCATTAATGCACAGCTCATGTCAGTGGATCCTTCTTGCCCCAATTTAATATTTTTTTTGGTGGGAGATACCCAAGGCAAAGACAGCTCCCGTTATGAAACCTTCCAGAAGGCCTCTGAAATTCAGGGTACTTCCCAAAACTTCTGCACTTCATTTTCAGTAAAAGTCAACGTAAAGGTCTTTCATTTTTGTGGATAATGTGATGTCTGCCTGAAATGACAAATATGAATATAGTGGGTTGGTTCAGTACTGCCTGGAAATTTAATTACAGGGGGAAGAAAATATTGAGTACCTTTAAACTCACCTTGAGTTCACGCATCAGTAATTGACAGTGTCTAGACAGACGGTGATCTGGAAACTAAAGTCTGGGGAAAATAAACGTGCAGATATTAAAGTCAGCTGCACTTCCCCATGGCAATGAAGTGGAAAGAGCTTCTTAAATGTGTGTGGGGAGGGGAGGTGGCAACTTTGTAGCAGCCACCAAAGCAGTTGCCAGCAGTTCCATGTGGAGCCTCCTCCCTCTCTAAGGACTGTGTCTTCTTAAAAATTCCACATAAAAAAGCAAGGTCTGTAAAACCTGAAAAACTACAGCAAAAAGCAACCTGATGATAAGGTGAATATTTATCTGGGTATCTGCAAAGCCCCAAATCAAGTTTTTCTTCTTTCCTTTCCAGGGACCCTAATTTAGAAAGGTGTTTGTGAGACCCAAATTGTATTGTGGATCACAGCCTGTTTTTACCATCCCTCACTGGAGCAAAGCAATCGCAGTGGGATGCACTGCTGATCGG